ATGGTAACTAAAAACTCAGCTGGTGGTGGTTTGCTTTAAACTACTATCCTTCCAGAGAAGCTGCTTTTTCTTGTTGTTCCTCGCAGTATTTTAAGGTTTGGTAGTTGGTAGTACTCGGAATGTCTTATTTGGTTTGTTTGAGGATTAGAATTGTATTGGACCGTTTTGCCTATTTCGAGCACCGCTTTCATCAATGAAGCATACATCCAGTTAGATAATGCATGCATCTTATCAGTCATTTTATTGCAATACTCCTCATATTTCCATGTCCCATTGCCAAGTATTAAACAAGCTTGTTAGTCCATTGATACTGTTTTGTAATTTTAGTCCGTTTCTCTTGCCAAATTTGGGAAACACACCCTCAAAATGATCATTTCCCATCATAGTGCGCACGATTGAACATACCATATCCAGCATCAGATTTGCAGATACAACCTTTCCCTGGTCAATGAAATTGGCAACAGTGTCGTCAGGCCGGCATGCTCCCAGAAGTCCTTTTGTCTTGCCCCTGGAATGAACCATTCTGGGCATGGCTCCAAGTTGTTATAGAATGTGATTCTTACAGACCAGTCCACTAAATCCTGAATCTATTACAGTGGTCTGAGGATCGAGTTGAAATGCAGAGTCTAGTGCACCTCTGGTGGTAATGAGAAAATGCACCATTTCCCTACTATCCTGTTAGTGTCACTTCTGTGCCCTGCTCCCCCCCCCTCCACTGCCTTGCCCAAACACCTCATTGATTAAATGCCTAGTGAGCTATGCCAGTTAGATCAGTGTCCACTTTCCGCACAGAGCTTTTGTGGAACGTGTACAAAACTCCTTTTCCAAAATCTGCACACACCACTGCAAAGGTGGGGATAAATTGGGGTTAGACCAAGAATGAAATTTTTCATATCCTGCATTCAGATACACCATGATTTATTAATTCACCAATGATCTCAGTAAGTTAGAAAAAGGTCCATGTATGTGTAGTCGTCCAAATTCTATGGACCCCCTGCCTTTGAAATTTAAAGTAAGTACATACAGTAGAATTTGTGGGCAGCACATTCCTACTGTCAACTTCCTTGTCCCACTCTTCCAACCTTCCAGCTGGCTTTGTTGCTATCTATCCAATTATAGGCAGAGAATCACCTGCAAAAGGTGGAGGTGTGGCTCTGTAAATTAATGATAATGCCAGCACAATAGAACGGGTTGCCTAAGTTTAGGAAACCATGATGGAGGAGCAGTTTGTGTGGAGATGAAAATTTATAAAGGCAAAAACTCACTGATGGTTGTGAATAGTATAAATGAAAAAAATAGTGACAGCTTGTCAGAAATGTGGTAATTGTGAGGAATTCTACTACAAATAGTTTGGAGAAACCAGATAGACAAAATTAGCCTTGTTGAGTTCACGGGATGTTTTGGGGATTGTTCCTTAGAACAACACCATTTTGAGTCGACCAGAGAGCAGGCTGTCCGAGTCCAAGTATTGTGAAATGTATTAATTAATTACCCGGTCTTCACTGTTGAGAATATAAGTCACATCTCAGAAATAGCTGTAAATTAGGAAAGTAGTACTGAGCTAGAGCTATGGTCTGACAAGTTCCTGGGTCCAGATGGACTTCATCCGAGGGTTCTAATAGCACTGGGGAGTGAGATGGTTGATTCTCAAAAGCAAAGCGCTCTGGATGCTGGAGATCTGCAATGAAAACAGAAGGTACCAGAGAAATTCAGCAAGTCTGACAGCATCTGTGGAGAGAGAGAAATACAGTTGATGTTATGAGTCTGGTATGACTCTTCTTTGGAACTGGTGGTTGATGCATTGGTTTTAATTTTCCAAAGTTCCTTGGATTTGGGGAAAATTCTATTAGAACTTTCTAAAAAAAATAACAAGTAACAAAGGCAGGAAACAGAAAGCAAAAAGCTAAGGCCAGTTAGTTTAACAGTTCTCATCAGGGAATATATTAGAAAGCTATTATAAGTGATATTATAGCAGGTCACTGAGGAAAATTTCAAGACAACCAAGAAAACGTCAACATGGTATTGTGGAAGGGAAATCATGTTCAACCAATTTATTGGATCAATTTGAAGAAGTAATGTACTGTTGATAAAGGGGAACCAGTGAATGCACTGTACTTAGATTTCCAGAAGGCATTTGATAAGGTGCCACATCAAAAGTTGCAGCAGAAAGTGAAAGCTCATAGTGTAGAGGGTGACATATTGGCAGGGATAGATGATTGGATGGCAGATAGAATAGGTATAATTAGGTTATTGTCTGGATGGGAAGATATAATGAGTGGTATGCCATAGGGATCAATGCTGGGAGTGTCAACTGTTTACCATTCATGTGAATGACTTGGACGAATGGACCAAAGTTATGGATGATAAATTTGCTGATGACACAAAGATAGAGAGGAAAGTAATTTGTGAAGAAGACATGAGGCTACAAAGTGGCAAATGCAGTATGATGAGGCACAATATGATGTTTTCCATTTTTCGGATGAAAAATAAAGTATATTTTCTAAATGGTGCAAGATCACAGAAACAGACACAGGGAATGCTGGAGAAGCTCAGCAAGTCTGGCACCATCTGTGGAGCGAGAAACACAATGAATGTTTCTAGTCCAGTATGACTCTTCTTAAAAACCTGTTCTGAACCATTGAATAACAGCAGGCTTGAGTGGCCGACTGCTCATTTCTACTTTTGTGTGGCTGTTCCAGTGCTGTCCTCTTGTGCAATATGTAGATTTGCTTACCTCCATAGCTTTGCTGAGACCAAGTCTCATTCACCCATTATCCCTGTGCTTGAGTTGCTTTGTGACCCTGTCGGTTTTAAAAATTCTCATCTGTGTGCTCAAATCCCACTATAAACTTGTTCCTCCTCCTCCTCCTGTAATCTTGTCCCAACCCAACAATCCTTCAGGAGCTAGGTCCTGCTCCAATTCTGGACTCCTGAGCAACCTTGGTTTTAGTCAGTCCAGCACTGGCGCACATGCCTTTTATCTGCTAAGGAATTCTCTTCTGTACCTCTACTTGTTTTCCTTTTTAAGATGTGTCTTTAAATCCACCTCTGTTATTTTCTAAGCTTTTCGTCATCTGTCCAGATTATCTTCACCCGTGGCTGTGTCATACTTTGATTAATAATGCTCAAGTGATGTGCCTTGGCATATTGAAGGTGCTATATGAATGTAAGTTGTTGTTGCCTATCTACCTGCTCTGTCCTTTTCCTGTAACCTGTTCGCTCACTTTTGTCCTTCTCTTGTCTTTCTCGTGTAATCCAAGTTGTTGACTCCACAAGCAAACCTGATGGAATGTAAGTGAAAATAGATATTGAGCAATATTTGTACTGGTGCTTAACGAGTAATGTTTGGTTTGAAGGCTGACTATCTCTGATATCAGATGAAAAGTGCACTGCATGACTGAGGAGGGAGTGTTGAAGTACCACTTGAATTTGTAGTATGCTCCAAAATTAAATGCAAGTGCTGGGCCATTTTTTTTAAATCCTGGCGTAAATCCGAGGATATTCCAATGATAAGGTTTTGTTTTCTGTTGCTGAAGTTGCTGTGAATTCTTTGGTAATAAAATGACAAATGAAACCTTCACTTCTGAAACTAAATTCTATTATTCTATTTACCTACTGAATATCATCTGTTTGCCATCTCTGATAGTTAGGTTCTTGTTTTAATATTGGAAAGGATGCTTTGAATATTCAGAAGTAATATTCATCTCAGTCTGTACAAGTTTAAAACAAACTTGAGAAAAAGCTTTCTGTTGTGGCCATTGAAGGACTTAGCAAAGTAGGCATTTAAGAAGTCTGACTCCAATTCTCATTCTGCACTGCTGAATATTTAATAGCATATAGATTTCTTTTTCAAGCATACTATTTGTAATTTGGAGTATTGAGCACTGTCAGGGTTTCATTAAGTTCGTAAAGAAATCACTTTAATTTTATTGATTTGGCTACAGGAATGACCAGTTACATTAGTTGTTTAGAAGTAATGAATGACTTGCTATGAAGCCATGCATAAAGCAACAATTATTGCAAAATTCATGTTCTCCTTAATCTCTCTGTTTTCTCCACTTGCAACACCTTTGTCATACACCACCTCTAACTGAGAAAATTCTGCCTCCTCCAAGTATTGCATTATAACTGAATGGTGGCAAGATGGGATTAGCGAGGGGATGTTGGTGATAGGCTCACTGGGAAAGTATTTGCTGCTGTTCAGTACTTTCGCATACCAGCACGCCTTCAATTGGAAAATTGGAGAATTGTGCGTTGCATCCCTGGCACAGTAGATTGGAATTCCAAGGCATTTTACAACAGCATTATTAAACAAAATTTGATTCCAAGCTGTGCAAGAAACTTTTAAAGTAGATGACAGATGTCTGGTCAAACAGCTAGGTTTTAAGGAGTGTCTGAAAGAGGGAAAAAGAGAGAATGGCTGTGTGTTTAGAATGGAGGATTAAAATACGTACTGCCCTCATGCTTGCTTGTTACACTGATCTACATCCAGCTAATTGTATGTAATATTTCGGGTTGAAATGATAGCTATCTGTCGGGTCCAGAAACACTGACCTTCCCTGAACAACTGTACTGATTCTTCTTGAACTTGAGTACATCAGAACTGTCAAATTGGTCATTTCATTATCCTAAAATAATTCATTGGACTTTCCAACAATGAGATGGTTTATAAATTGGAGTATGCTTCATTGTTTAAACGGTTTTCATTTTTTAATGCTTAATTATGAAATGCTTGTCTACACAACAAATATTTAACAAATTGAAAAATATATTCAAGCTCGAATATGTTTTCAATTTACAATGGCACTTGTGTGTTTTGTCTTTTTATGTATAATGTCTAAATAATTCAGGTTATTTCAAAACTTCTTAGAACAATATTTTTTGATAGAACAGCATTGTCATAATCAGTTTTGCTACTCTGACTGTATTGACCTGGGGTAATTACAGAGTAGATGCAACATTTCTGCAATGTTGTAAATTCTGCTTTCCTTATTTCACAGTACAGCATTGTCATTCACGTGTGTCTGGTACTGCACGATAGTCACTGCAGGGATGAGTTATCTCTTCCTCATACAGCTCATCAACATCAGCTGCAACATCACAGAAAGGGAAATACGGTTTGCGTTGAGAGACAAAACTGGACAAAAGTACCTCTGCGGTCTAGTCATAAAAACCGATGAGTACAATCGAGGCTTCATTAATAACTGGAAAGAATTCCTCAAACTTCAGCCCAATCATATGAAGACAACCATTGAAGATTTAGTGTAATGCTTCTGATTTAATTTTATTCAAGGGCTTATCTTTGTACTCTTTAATAACTATCGCAATGTGTTAAACTAATTATCTTCAACCTGAAACAAATACTAGTTTTTAGAGTAATTAAATAGCAAATGAGTAGACAATCTATCTTCAAGCTGGAAAACTTGTAAATTTTCTATGATGCCTTTCAATGAGCATTAGTTTCCATGTGTGCGATATTTTTTCTTGAAATTGTCATTTTACAAACATGAGATCACAGTATTAGGCTACTTGACATACATTTTACTGGTTATGTAGCTAACTTAGGTTCTTTTAAGCGGGAAAATATTGGGAAAGTCTGGCAGGAATGTTTCCAGAGAGCAAAAAGCCAGTTGCCACGTGAACAAAAATGGTACGTGAGATAAAGAGAAACAAATGAGGAGTGAATGCAAGGGTTATAAAAAGAATCAAGATGAAAAGTTAAGATGATTAAATGAATAAAGATATTGGTAAAATTAACAGGCATTTATTGGGTGGGTGGGTAGAGAACTGAAACCTCTTTAACATGTATGTGAAACACAATATTCAAACATTGGGCACATTATTATTGTGAGAAAGTTTGTCACTCAGTACAGTGCGGCGGCACAGTGGCTCAGTGGTTAGCACTGCTGCCTCACAGCGCCAGGAACTCTGGTTCAATTCCACCCTTGGGCAACTGTCTGTGTGGAGTTTGCACATTCTCCCTGTGTCTGCGTGGGTTTCCTCCGGGTGTTCCGGTTTCCTGCCACAGTCCAAAGATGTGCAGGCTAGGTGGATTGGCCATGCTAAATTGCCTGTAGTGTCCAGGGATGTGTAGATTAGGTGGGTTATAGGGGAATGGGTCTGGGTGGGATGCCCTGAGGATTGGTATGGACTTGTTGGGCCGAAGGTGCCTATTTCCACACTGTATGGATTCTATGATTCAGTAGAGAAAACCAGATGTAATTGGCGGTGAAGTTCCAGTTCAGGAGTTGCACAGTTAGATTCATGGTAGTGTAATAAATAAAATATTTTATATTAAATTGTTAATTTGTTTAATTCTGAAAAACAGAAGCTTAAAAATGTCAAAATCTTGTTTTCCTTTGAGCAAAAATGCTGTTGTTATATTATGACATGAACTTTGTTTGTAGCTGTCCAGAACAAGGTTATCAAATCTAAAGTGTTGTTAACTATTAATTTACTATAAACACACCCAGAACGATATCCAGTGGTAAAGCTGCATGCCCCCAACAGCTAACTTGAGAGAATCAGCATTGATGCTACCTCAAGTGTACAAGTAGCTGGCTCTCTATTTATGGCCTGCTTCACTGCATAAGCACATTTTTCGGTCAAGTTATCTGCATGTATACTGACCTAATGAGTATCAGTCTCTGTACAATAACTGGGTAGATTTGAGATATTCGTATGATGACTGTGAAAGTTGTGCTTTTACCTGACAATATGAATACGCAGAAGATTTTATTTCTTGAAGTTCAGTGCTATTGGAATTCGAACCATACATATAAACAAAGGCAAATAACAGAAGGGTCTAGGCCCGAAACGCCAGCCTTCCTGCTCCTCTGATGCTGCTTGGCCTGCTGTGTTCCTCCAGCTCTACACCTTGTTATCTCAGATTCTTCAGCATCTGCAGTTCCTACTATCTCTCGCAAATAACAACAGATGCTGGAAATCTCAATTCAAAACAGGATATTCTGGGAATACTCAGCAGGTGAGGTAGCATCTGTGGAGAGGGAAACAAGTTAACTTTTCAGGTAAATGATGTTCTGCTGAAAGATCATTGATCTGAAACATTAACTTCTGTTTCTGCTACATAAGTCACAGGACCTGAGCATTAGTGGCATTTTCTTTCAATTGGACTAACAATGTAGGGTTTATAGTTTAATAAAAATGATTGCTATGAAGAAATTGGTGTCAATCTTGATGTCAGATGTAAATATGTATTTTTAAAATTGTCACATTTAATATTTTAGAAAACCCGAAATAAAAAAATTCTCAATTTGAGATTTTCAGCATCTCTGCATGAGTGTACATACTGTACAACAGTTTATTATAAATTATTGCCAGGCCTGAAAAGATTTGTAACTTTTAGAACTTATTACAACTAGATTTAAGAAATTGTGCTTTAGTACGAGTTACTATTTAAAGCAGTGCAAAAATGTGCCTGTTATGTGGTTTTATGGTAGTTTCGAGTTTCCTTTGCAATGTTATGCATGTGAGATTAACACTGCTGTGATCACTGACTGTTGGGTTAATTTCATATTTTGTAAACAAAAGCAATATTCCATTCTCATCAGCCATCAAGTTTAAACTCTCAAACTAAAGCAAGAGTTTAAATATTCCAGCTTTTTCAAAAGTTCCAAATTTAGTTTATTAAAGCTGTTTCAAACTTTTTAGCTATGTGTGCCTCAATTACCACATAGTTGCAGTGAGTTAGTTAGCAGCCATTTGGCCCATTGAGTTTTTGGAGCAATTTAGCCAGACACACTATCCCCGCTCTATCATCAGAACTTTGCAAGGTTATTTATCTCAAATGCCCATCCAATTTTGTTTTGAAAACATGAATAGTCTCTGCTTCTACCACTCTTGCAGGCAGTGAGTCGCAACATATTAATGCGACTGCTTGTTTTGTTGTCCTTGGCAATACAGTTTCCTGAGAGTGATTTCCCCCTAGAACTGAAATCTGAACAGCTAGGTTACGGGCAGTTTTGGTAACAAGCAAAGACTAACAGCACAAACAGGCCATGGCAAAACAAAAGGCATCAAAGTGTAAGATTTGTGAAATGTGAAATGCCTTCCTCTGAAGATTTACAATATTTTAAAGTATTTTGTTTATCCCTGAAGTGAGAATTTGTTATATTGATAGGAAACAAGCAGTGTCAGTTTATTTTTGAGAGACTGCTGTGCTCTGTTAGTAACAATATTTTTGCAGATTTTTAAAGTGAACAGATATCAAGTCAGGATACGGTAAGCCTCATCAAAGGTATTAAAAACAAGAACAGAAGTTGCTGGAAAAGCTCAGCAGGTCTGACAGCATCTGTGAAGGAAAAAACAGAGTTAACGTTTCAGGTCCAGTGACCCTTCCTCAGAACTGAGGAAGGGTCACCAGACCCAAAATGTTAACTCTGTTTTTTCCTTCACAGATGCTGTCAGACCTGCTGAGCTTTTCCAGCAACTTTGTTTTTGTTCCTGATTTACAGCATCCGCAGTTCTTTCAGTTTTCGTCGAAGGTATTGTTGGATCATTAAGCTACATTGATTCTCAGGTGGCATGATTTGTCATATATTGTTCGTTGTCTGGATTTTCCATGTGTAACATTTTGACTTTTCAGTTTGATTCAAATATTGTTTGGAGGCCATTCAGAAAGATAACTCACCTGTCTTGTGCTATTATTGTAATTCTTATTTTTATTTCTGTGGGTGTTCAACTCCAAATGTTGTAACTTGAGAATTAAATGTTGGTTAAAATATTTAAAATTGTTGGATACAATTCATCTTAAGTTTCCATTTACCTGTAAATGCTTAGTTATATAAAAATGTGTTTTAATTAAAGTTTCTCTGAAACTATATTTTACTGAAACAACAAGGAGACACAATGCCTTAATTAATCTTGACAGGTAGAAGCAAGTAGGTAATATTCCTGTTGGCATGCCATATGGGTCAAGATTATCTTAAAGTATGAAATAGAGTTTCTGGCTCAGTATTAATGCCATCCATAGATGCAATCCTCAACATTTATTTTGTGTGGAAACCTAGTAATTCTTGTTGTTTTTCTGAGATGTATTGTGAATTACCAGTTAGTTAAACTTTAAATACATTGCCCATAATGTGACATTCCTATGTGATCCTCTGCTGCAATCTTAATGATGCTTTATGAGGAATGTTGTAACTGATGGTCAGTCATGTATTCCCAGTCAGTGAAACACAGTAATCCAGATTATGTTTGATAGTTTATGACTAAATTAGCCATTTTCCAAAACAAGGCCTTACCTTATGCTCAGAGATGGTAGGAACTGCCGATGCTGGAGTCTGAGATAACAAGGTGTAGAGCTGGATGAACAAAACTTTTCTGAAGAAGTGTCCAGACCCGAAACGTCAGCTTTCCTGCTCCTCTGATGCTGCCTGACCCGCTGTGTTCATCCAGCTGTACACCTTGTTAACTTACCTTATGCTCATTTCCATAAGTTATTTGATCTGAGTAATATAGCATCAAATGCTCAAATCTCACTTTCCATGGTCTGATTCATGGTCAAATGAAATTTTACATTCTTAGTAGTGTCCAGGGATGTGCAGGTTAGGCATCTTAGCCCTGGTAAAAGCCCCATGTGGGATTATGGAGAATAGAGTGGAGGGGATTCTGGGTGGGATGCTGTTCAGGGGGTCAGTGCAGACTTGTTGGGCTGAATGGCCTCATTCTACAATGCAGGGATTCTATGATTCTATCAATTTAACAATATATGCAGTGTTCCTTTTAGTTACAGTATGATTGTTTATTCCAGTGAGAGGAGTAAAATGGGTAGAAATTTAAGGCCTGTAGAAAAACAACAAATTTTGAACACAATTTCATATTTGTTGTTCAAATACCAGCTTAAAATATTTATTCTCAAACTTCAAAATTTCACAGCATATAGGATATTTGTTTTATTTCCTGTAGGAACTATGTTACATAAGTCCCTCACTGTAGACAATTCCTACCTAAATATGTAAAACGTGTTTAAAAATAGTCAGTGTATTGATAAGTGCAAGTCATTGTACAATTTATTGTATAACTGGGATTTTTAGAAAATTGTAACACTTTTAATAGAATATCATAAAGGGCTATATAAGCAGATTATCCTGATGTGTGTTTGTGTGTTCATTCTGTTAGGATTTTTGAATGCACTTGTAATTTCAAATATTACATACATAGACATATCTATCAGCATTAGTTATATACTTGAAAAATTGATGTGTAGAATACATATATGAAGAAAAAGGAAAATCTTATGTGAACAATTGCTACAGGAACAAAATACTGCAGGTGATCATCAGACATAGGAGGGAAATTAGGCTATTCAGCCCATCTAGTCCATTCTGCTATTCAATCATGGCTGACAAATTTCTCAATCCCATTCTCCTGCTTCCTGTCCGTAACCCTTGATCCCCTTGACAGTCAAGAACCTATCTATCTCTGTCTTAAATACACTCAATGACCTGGCCTCCACAGCCTTCTGTGGCGATGAATTCCATAGATTCACCACCCTCTGGCTGAAGAAGTTTCTCCTTATCTCCATTCTAAAGGGTCTTCCCTTTACTGTAAGGCTGTGCCATCGGGTCCTAGTCTCTCCTACCAATGGAAACATCTTCCCAACATCCACTCTGTCCAGGCCGTTCAGTATTCTGGAAGTTTCAATTAGATCCCCACTCATCCTTCTAAACTGCATTGAGTATCGACCCAGAGTCCTCAAATATTCCTCATACATTAAGCCTTTCATTCCTGGGATCATTCTCGTGAATCTCCTCTGGACACGCTCCAGGGCCAATACATCCATCCTCCGGTATGGTGCCAAAAATTGCTCACAATATTTTAAGTGTGGTCTGACCAGAGATCTATAAAGCCTCAGAAGTACATCCCTGCATTTATATTTTAGTCCTCTTGAAATAAATGCCAAAACTGTATTTGCCTTCCTAACTACAGACTTAACCTGCAAGTTTATCTTAAGAGAATCCTGGACTAGGACCTCCAAGTCCCTTTGCACATCGGATTTCTGAATTTTTTTCCCCATTTAGAAAATAGTTTATGCCTCTATTCTTCTTACCAAAGTGTGTGACCTCACACTTTCCCACCTTGTATTCCATCTGCCACTTCTTTGCCCACTCTCCCAACCTGTCCAAATCCTTCTGCAGCCTCCCCACCTCCTTAATACTACCTGTCCCTTCACCTATCTTTTGTATCGTCTGCAAACTTAGCCAGAATACCCTCAGTTCCTTCATCTAGATCATTAATGTATAATGTGAAAAGTTCTGGTCCCAACACTGACCCTATTGGAACGCCACTAGTCACCAGCTGCCTTCCTGACAAGGACCAGTTTATCCCCACTTTCTGCTTTCTGCTAGACTGCCAATCTTCTATCCATGCTAGTACCTTGCCTCTAACACCATGGGCCCTTATCTGACTCGGCAGCCTCCTGTACGGCACCTTGTCAAAGGCCTTCTTGAAGTTCAGGTTGATAACATCTGTTGACTTTCCTTGGTCTAACCTGCGCGTTACCTCAAAGAATTCTAACAGATTTGTCAGGTATGACCTCTCCTTGATGAAGCCGTGCTGACTTTGCCCTATTTTACCATGCACTTGGAAGTATTCACAAATCTCATCCTTTATAATGGACGCAAATCTTATCAATGACCAAGGTCAGGCTAATTGGCCTATAATTTCCCATCTTTTGCCTTACTCCCTTCTTAAACGGGGCGGGGGTGGGGGTTACATTACTGACTTTTCCAGACCTCTGGGACACTCCTGACTTCAGTGATTCCTGAAAGATCAACGCCAACACCTCCGCTATCTCTTTCAGAACTCTGGGGTGTAGGCAATCTGGTCCAGGTGATTTATTCACCTTCAGATTTTCAGTTTTTCTAGCACCTTCTCCCTGGTGATGGCCACCATACTCACTTCTGCCCCTGACTCTCTTGAATCTTTGGTATATTACTCATGTCTTCCACTATGAAGACTGACACAATGTACTTATTCAGTTCCTCTGCCATTTCTTTGTTCCCCATTACTACTACTTCAGCATCATTTTCCAGCAGCCCAATGTCCACTTTTGCCTCGTTTGCCCTTTATATATCTAAAGAAACTCTTGCAAACTTATTTTATATTACAGGCTGGCTCACCCTGAAATTAAATCTCCTCCCTCCTTATTTTTTCATTGCCCTCTATTGGCCTTTGTAAGCTTTCCAATCTTCTGGCTTCCCACTGCCCTTCGCCACATTATGTGCTTTCTCTTTTGCTTTTATACTGTCCCTGACTTCCCTTGTCAACCTTGGTTGCCTCTTCTTCCCTTTTCAGTATGCTTCTTCTTCCTAGGGATAATTTTTGCTGTGTCTTCTGAATTACTCCCAGAAACCCCTGCCCTTGCTGTTCCATTGTCTTTCTTGCTAGGCTTCTGTCCCAGTCAGTTCTGGTCAGCTCCTCCCTCATGCCCCTGTAGTTGCCTTTATTCAGCTGTAGACCGTTATTTCTGATTCCATCTTCTCCCTCAAATTGCAGAGTAAATTCTTTCTTATTATGGTCACTGCCTCCGAAGGGTTTGTTCAGTTTAAGCTCTCATCAAATTTGCCTCATTGCACAACACTAAATCCAGAAATGCCTGTCCCCGAGTGGGCTCCACCACAAGCTGCTCCAAAAAGCCATCTTGTAGACATTCCACAAATTTGTTTTCTTGTGATCCAGTACCAACCTGATTTTCCCAGTCCACGTGCATATTGAAATCCCCCATGATCACTGTAACCTTGCCTTTCCTATGTGCCTTTTCTATCTACTGGTGTACCTTGTGTCCCACATCCTGACTACTGTTTGGATGCCTGTACATAACTCCCATTATGGTTGTTTTACCTTTGCGGTTCCTCAACTCTACCCACACAGATTCTACATCAACTGACCCCACTTCATTTCTTGCTATTGATTTAATTTCATTTCTTACTAAAAAGGCAAATCCACCCCTTCTGCCCACCTGCCTGTCTTTTCGATTAGATATTTAGCTCCCAGGCCTGATCCCCTTGCAACCACGTCTCCACGATGCCCAACACATCATATCTGCCAATTTTGAACTGTGCCACAAGCTCATTTACCTTATTTTGCAAGGCGTGCATTCAGATACAACACCTTCAGTCCTGTATTTACTGTCACTCTTCTCGTTTTCATCCCTTTATCCGATGTGCTTGAAATTAAGATTCCTAATCCTTTCCAAACACTCTGTCCTATTTTGTGTGCTGGAGGCTTTAATAACCTCTCCTGAGTTCTCCTGTCTTCACTTTCTTCATATTTTTCCATGCTGTTGAGTCCACACCCACAGATGATAACCTGCTGCTTTGTTTCCCATGTGGCCATTCCACTACTTGGAGTTTTTCCCTCTCCTCCCACTCCACTTTCCAGTTTCAAGTCCTGTTGACCATCCTATTTACCCTTTTCGTTAGAATATTGGTCCCAGCTTGGTTTGGGTGGAGACCATCTCAGCAGTACAGATCCTTCCTATTCCAATACTGATAACAGTGCCCCATGAAAAGGAGACCCGCTTTCCCACACCACTCTTTTAACCACGTGTGTACCTCCCTTGCTGGAAACGCTCAGCAAATTTGACAGCATTGGTGAAGAGAAAACTGCGGTAATGTTGCAGTCAATGATCTTTCTTCTTACCTTTTTCTCCCCCAACCTGAAATAGTAACTCTTGCTCTCTACAGATGCTTCTAGAACTGGTGAGTATTACCAGAATTTTCTGCTCTTAATGAAAAATTTCTCATTTGCTATTAGATGTTTTTGGAAGAAGAAGTCCCAGTTTAAACAATAATGTAAGTAGTATCTCATGCTTTCAATCATGTACTAATGTCCTCTGAAGGGGCTTTCCAATGCATTCATAAATCAAAATCCAACTGCCTTAAACTAACTGAATTTTTTTGACTATGTCATTTCAATTTTGTTTTTCTCTACATGTAGGAACATGATGCATTTGGAGTGGGTTGTTCTTGCAGAACACCGCTCGCGACAGGAGAGTTAAAAGCAAGATCACAAATCTATTTTAGAAATTCCGGAAAGCTATCGGGTGCAAGAGATTGCATGTTCTAAACGGTAAACTACAGGTATAGTCATCTTTGACTATTTAGGTGGTAGCCTAAATCTAAGCACATTAAAATAACTTGCTGCATTTTCATGTTGCAATGTTATGGTGTCTACTGAAACATTGATGACAAATCAGTATTTAGTACTACTTACAAACTAATATTTGAAACTTTTTGTTAACTTAATAGACCCATCAGCAAACTGCTATTCAGATCCAAGAAACTGATTTATTAAAAATGAGCATAAATGGTTGTAATTTAATTAATATACAGTATCTATAAATTTCCTTCTTGGATTTGCATGTTTTTTTTATTATTCTCACAGTAAATTAAGAAAATGTGGCTTTTTATTTTGACATAATCTTGCAATTTTGATTCTCTAGTTTAAAATCTTTGCAGTTTCAGTCTAGTCAGTTGTTTTATTTCCTATGCTGGCTAATCATAAATTGGTAATTGGTTTAGTGTTTTTGTTCTTTGATTACAAAATGTATCCAAACTGTATACCTAAAATCCTTTGATACTAAAGAATCTGTTGTTTAGATTACATTGTTTTTGGCTATCCTTTGATTCGAGGATTATGTCTTCTCAATTATGACATTCTGCCATGGGTTTTCAAGTGACTGAGCAGGCCAATTTGTGTCCTGCAGATGTTTGCACATTTGGGGCAGAATGTCTCAAGAGCTAGTTAGATCCAGGGTGCAGGATCTGCTTCTTGTTCTTTACTGCTATTCTGCCTGACTGCGAAGGCATTAAGACTCAAAACATGTGCTCATGGACAAGTCATTTTGACTCCTTTTATATCATTAATATCAATGCATTCTGTCTTCAAGAATAGCTTCAGACTAGCTTAAAAGTGTTTTTGTTACCAACCAGCCCTGACCCCTAACCTTAAGTCATTTGAGAGTTGGGAAATTATGACCCAGTGGGAGAGAGGATTGCATCTAGACAGTGCCTTGTCTATCAAATTGGATTTTGCACAACTTTTGCCTGAATACTTGTGGAACTTGTTTGCCAGTTCTCCCAGGCGAATCTGGAGAATTTGGTGAAGGTATTGTTTATGCCATTTCTTTGGTGTTTTTCAGTCATTGGTACATAGTTTGGGTCTCACTGCAGTGGGAAGAAGTGCGGAGATGGCAGTTATGATATTCACTAGGACTTTTGACTTGTGGAGGTCTGTGTTGCCAAACAGCTTTGGCAACACCTCTCATCAATGGTGGCTGCCAAGGTATGGGAGACAGTCCAGAATTTTTCTGCCAATATATACAGGAGTTAGAACATTTGGCTGACTAAGCATGGGTTGATTTGAGTTTTAGTTTTGCAACATGCAAACTTCTCGAATGCAGAATTGGTGAGATTGAATGGCTTGCAATTCTGCTGCAAAGTAGGCAACAGCACAATCATCTGCAAACTGTAGGTCAACCTTATGTGATGAAATATTATTTGGAAATTTGGGATCTAAAGTAACAGAGCATATATAGCTTTGATTCATAATTCCATATTGTGTAGGAATTTAGTTTACTTGCAATTAAATGACACATTAAAAGAAAAATCGAAAGGTGAATAGTTCAATAATAGAGGAAACAAAATTGGGTACAAGGTATCCTATAACTACAGTGAGAGAGAAATCACAGACCCTTGTCCAAGTGCAGTGGGTCCCCCCACTAGACCCCCAAAAAACTCAGATCTTGCCTGTGACATGGCGAGCCAGAGACATAAACCAGATACTTAGAAAGAGAAAACCATCCAACAACAAAAGCCTGTAGTGTGGTAGTCTTCAAAACACTCAAGGCAGAAGAGAAATCCTGAATGAATTAGAAATTAAGGGAAAGTATCCATAAACATTAATTGGTTAGGCCACTTTTGGAAGTCTGCATTCAATTCTGGTCTCCCTGCTGAAGGAAAGGTGCTGTTAAACTTGAAAAAAATCAGGAAAGATTACAAGGATGTTGCTGGGTCTGAACAGTATGAGCTATAGGGAGAGGCTGAATAGGCTGGGGCTATTTTCCTTGGAGTCTAAGAGGCGGAGGCGTAACCTTTAAGGTTTATAAAATCATGAGGGGCATGGACAGGCTGAATAGCCAAGGTCTTTTTCCCAAGGTAGGGGAGTCCAAAACTAGAGGGCATAGGTTTAAGGTGAGAGAGAGGAAAGATTTAAAAGAAATCTAAAGGGCAATTTTTTTACAGAGGGCGGTGTTGGTATGGAATGAGCTGTCAGAGATGGTGGTGGAGGCTGGTACAATTACAACATTTTAAAAAGCATTGGGATGGGTACGTGAATAGGAAAGGGTTGAGAGGGATATGGGCCAAATGTTGTCAAATGGAACTAGATTAATTTAGGATATCTGATCAGCATGGATGAGTCAGACCAAAGGGTCTGTTTCTGTACGGTACAGTTCTACAACTATAACAGAAAGCTTTAAGGTGTCCAGGTGAAATCTTACAAGATTGTTGAATGTGTGAGTATATGTAACAAATGTTTAAAAAGTGAGCTGGGTTAGCTCAGAGGCATTAACTTAAGACAGCATTGGGTGAATGCAGAAGTTTGCTGGAAAGTAATCAAATACAGCTGTGCCAACTGAACAAGGAGTTTTAAACTGGAAACCAAGGTGACCCTTCCCTTATGTTCTGGTGAGGGTAAAAGGGTTGAAACTTTAATTCTGATAGTTGAAATAGGATTATTTCAAACTTAGACAGTGCTTCTTGCCCTTTTGTATACAAAACTTTGGTGTTCTTGTTTAGAATATTGGCAACTTGTGAATGTGACTGATCACCATGGTAAACAAGTTGCAAAACCTGTGGCCTATCAAGCCAGGTTTCATCTTGGAATTTGATTTACTACAGCTAGGATCGTGAAAGTTGTGTGACAATCACTGGCTGACAATTTTACAGACTAATTCTTGAAAGCATTCTGTAAAATTTCCTGACTTTTTGCAAAAAAAAACTAAAAAGCATGATTGGCACTGGAGTTCTCTGTATGGTTTTTAAAAACTGATTAGAATTATCAAAACCAAGTGAGATCTCCTCACAAAAGTATGTTTCCCATTTGTACCTAAAAAATATGAAATAAGTAGTATGTGTGAAATTGGTGATTTGTAAATGATATGAACTGTATTGCAGTTTATCAATTTTAAAAATATATCTATGGAACTCGTTTAGTAACTTGATGGGCAGGTTATTTGCTTAATGAAACTTAGCAAGATATTTTTGAAGATTAAAGAAAAGATTCATTTGGGAGAACTAATCAATTTAAATGGATCTTAATGTTATCATCTCAAAAAGCAAACAATAGCTGTTTCTTCCATTTCATTTGAGGCTTTAAATAGGAAATGCAGCTTTGACATGAGTTCTGCTTTAGGAAAGTATTGGAGGAAAGAATAATGTTGCAAAAACATTGTGAAGTTAATGCTTAACAACTACCGTACTGAAGCAATGCAGATATGACTAAGTAGAAACCAGATAAATCATTTCTATTTAACTGCAATGGGGATGTTTTATTTCACATACCTGTACAGTCAAAATGTGAAATATGATTTGGTACTAAGTGAATATTCATCTATTTTATTGTTATAATACATCAACAAAAATGTCACTATTAAATTTTGCTTTTAAATTAAGTCTTCAATTGTCTGTATAATTTTTGTATTCCACCCCACGAGGTACACAAGGTGTTTTTGGCCTGACCTTCAAGACTTGGAGGTTCTTTGCTAAATTCTAATAGAAGATTCTCCCTCAACTCAAATTCAAACTGTGATACATTATTCCTGTACGCTTCCAAGATCCTCAAACTGTTAGTATTTAATTGCTATGCCTGAAAATCAGGGAGAATTTCAGCAACTTTCTTCCTGAGGTGCTGTATGCGTTCTTCCTTCTTCACCTCCTCCTTGATGAGCATTGGCAAACTCTTCCATGCTCTGAAAGCTCTCTTGACTATCCTCCTACAGGTAGGAAATACAAATTAGATATTCAGGAATTCCAAGATAATTTTAATGAGTATATATGGAACTTTTAATGTATTATTTTAACCATTTTGAAGTTAAGATTTAAAACAATTAATTTGGAGATATTCTGAATCCGTATGGTGTGGATCTGAGTTACCAAACATAACAAGGTTACATCTTCAAAAACATCAATTTCTTTCACCGTATTCTACCAATTAAAGAAGATGCCCGTTACCACTGATTATGTTGTTCTCCAATTCTCTCCTTCTCCCATGATTCAATCTTTTCCTCAGTCACATAACCAAACCAGGCAATGAAAGTGGCTCTTGTTAGAGCTGTCAGATAGTGTTGCCATGCTTTCTCCTCCATAACAGTGCAGTAATCTTTGTACTGTAAGGAAAACGTATTTTAGAATATCACTTTCTCAAAGAATCAAACTATGTATTTCAAATTCTCTGTAATGTTAACACTTTTACATAAGAACATATGAAATGGGAGCAGGAGCGGGCTGCCCCAATATTCAAAACAGATCACAGTTGATCTGCCTTAGGCCTTAACTCTTCTGTGTCAGCTGTTAACAGTCCTCAATCCCTTCATATTTCAAAAATCTTATTGACCTCATCCTTAAATAGCTTCAATGATCTAGCCTCCACAGTTTATGGGGTAGGGAAATCCAGACATTCACTACCCTCTGCGAGAAAAAATTCCTTCACATGTCTCCTTATTCCATATCCATGCCATCTAGTTCAAGATTCCTCCATTACTGGAAACAACATCTCAACATTTCCCTGTCAAGCCCCCTCAGAATATGGTACATTTCAATAAGATTGCTTCTTCTTCTTCTAAACTCTAATGAATAAAGGCTAAACCTGTTTACCTGTTCATTAAGTCAACGCCTTAAGAATCAGCCCAGTGAACTTCTTTAGAACTGCATCCAATGCCAGTATATCAGTTTTTAAATAGGGGGGCCAAAATAGGGGGACCGAAATTGTACAGGGTCCTTCAGGTGTGGTCTCACCAACACAGTATACAGATGTAACAAGACTTCTCTATTTTCAAAATTCCAACTGCCTCACAATAAAAGGCCAAAAGTCCATTTGCCTGCTTAATTACTTGCCACACAGGACTACCCAGATTCCTGTCGGGTGCGCTTTTTTGGAATTTCCACATTAAAAGTGCATGACTTTACACTTTTCTATGTTAAACTCCGTCTGCCAAGATTTTGACCACGTATTCGAAGAATCTTCGAGGTATGACTCTAAATAAATAGGTTATGTCCTTATCACAACACTCCCTTCCCAAATATTCTTGTATCCTCAGCAAATCTGGATACATGCCTGTCGGCCTCTTCCTGGTGGCACTCCACTAGTCATGTCTTTCCAATATGAAAATTACCTACTAATCCTGACTGTCTGTTAACCAATCCTCAATCTATGCAAATATACACCTAACGCTGTGAGCTTCTATCTTGTGCAATAAACTTTTATAAGGCATCTATTGAATGTCTCCTGCAGATCCAAATACACTACATCTTTCAGTCATCGTTTATCAATTCTGCTTGTTATATCCTCAAAGAATTCTAGCTAATTTGTCAACATAATTTCCCTTTCACAAAACTGAGTTGACTGATTGCATTAAGCTTATCTAAATGTTCTGATTTTTCTTCCTTAATAATGGACTCTTGCATTTTCCCAATAACAAATGTTAGGCTAAATAGTTGATAGACAGAAAGCGGGAAACTGTCTCCCTTCTGGAACAGATGTGTCACATAAACGGTTTTCCAATCTACCGGAACCCTCCTGGAATCTATGGGGTTCTGGAATATTTTGACCAATGCCTCCACTATCTCTGCAGCCACTTCCTTTTAACACCCTTGGATGCAGGCCTTTGGAGCTTGGTGGCTTTTCTGTCTTTAGCCCCACTGGTTTGGCAAATGCATTGCCCCTCGTGACACAGACAGTTACATGATCTTTCCTCTTATTAAGACCTTGCTTATCTGTTACCTTCGGGATGTTTATAGTGTCGTCCACCATGAAAACCGAAGCAAACTACTGATTGATATCATCTGTCCAGTTCCCTGTTCCTCATTATCAATCCCCAAGTTGCCATTCTCCAAGGATCCCATACTTACTTTTTTCCCATAGCTGTAGAAGCACTTGCTATTTGTTTTTATATTTATTGCCAATTTATTTTCATCAATTTTTTTCCATCTTTATTAGCTTTAGTCATCTGGTATGGATTTGATATAAAACAAAATCCCAACTTTTCACTGTTTTGTATGCCTTGTTTTTCTGTTTGGATTGTCTCCTTGATTGCCTTTAACTATGGATGGTTCATACTTCTCGGTCCTTTTTTTGGCTGAAATAAATTTTTAATATAATACAATCCAGCACAGGAACAATCGCTTTGGCTCACCAAGCTTGTGCCAATTCCTAATCCTTATTTAGACCTGCTACTTATTGACCATACATGGAATCTATCCCTCTGTTTGCTTCATGTTCATGTGTCTATGAAGATACGCCTTAAAAGTTGCTAACGTGCCTGCTTCCACTACCTCCACTAGCAGTGCGTTCCAAGCACCCAACATTTGAAAGCTCTAAAATGTTAACTCTCTTTGTCTTGCGGCGTACAGGACACTGGTGAGACCACTTTTGGAATATTACATTCAATTCTGGTCTCCCTGCTGTCGGAAAGACGAAAGTGTTCAGAAAAGATTTACAAGGATGTTGCTGAATTGGAGGGTTTGAGCTCAAGGGAGAGGCTGAATAGGCCATAGTTTTTTTTTCCCCCAGGGTAGGGGAAGTCTAAAACTAGAGGGCATAGGTTTAAGGTGAGAGGGGAAAGATATAAAAGGGACCTAAGGGGCTACTGTGTGAAACATTTTCCCTGCACTTCTCCCGTAAACTTTCCCCCTCTCACTTTAAGCCTGTGCCCTCTTGTGGTTGACCTTTCCACCCTGGGAAAAAGCTTCTGACTGTCCACCCTATCTGTGCCTCTCATAATCTTGTAAATCTCTATCAGGTCGTCCCTCAACCTCTGTCTTTCCAGTGAAAGCGATCCAAGTTTATCCAACCTCCCCACATAACTGAAACCTGCTGAGGATTGTGAAATATTTTGATAAATGTCCCCTACTGCTTATTCACTGATTTTCACTTTAGTCTATTTTCAAAGCTTCAGATTTATTACACCTAAATGAATACTCCCACTGATTAATTTAAAGCCCTATTTGCATAACTACAAATGCTATAAGTGTACCAATGTAACCTTAGTCTACTACTTATTATGCCACGAAATTCCACAAAACTAGCCAAAACCAGTTCAAACTGGAAGTGTATCTGGAAGTGCAAGAATTCTGTATTCGGAGTGGTGTAGGATGAACACCAATTACCATAAACCAACTGAAGATTTATTATGGGCCCTGGCAACTCATCAATGATTTGAAAATAATTAATTATTTGACAGCATTTTCCAAATGCATGGAAACACTACCACTTGAAACTTGCACACCATCCTGATTTGGAATTATATTGCCATTCCTTCATTTGAGGCTGGGTCCAAATTCGAGAACTCTCTTTCTAAATAGACAGTGGCTATATTACCCTCATGGACTGCAGTTCAAGGAGACAGCTCACTACCACCTCCAAGGGTGGGTAATAAATATTGACCATTCGTGAACACATTTTAAAAATTGTGCATTTGAAATCTTTGTTACAATGGAGAGGAAAATGATCAAAAGGAAAGGGTTGCCCTTAGAGTCCGAGAACTGGCAGGACTTCTGCGGTTCAAAACGGAAGGACTCTGCAAAGAAAAGTGCAAGAAGAACAGTAAAGTTTACCAAATAAGTTCGGTCCAGGTTTTTGCACATTGTCCACAGTTGAAACAAGGTATAACCTGTTAAGCTCTGTGTTAATTATTGCCTAGTTTCTCAATCCTCCTTTCTCTCATTTGTAATACTAAGATTCCTTCTAGCACAGTACTAAAATAGAGTAGTAGGAGGTTTTATGATACCTTTATAGATTTTTAACTTGTGCAGACCACCACCTCAGTAGCTGCAAACTTTTTCTCAGAAAAGGAATGAGTTAATTTGAACCTATTTGTCCAATTATAAACTCAAGGGTGAATGCTTAAATGCATGTTTTTGTTAGTTATACACTCCAGCTCTGCATTTGAGGTATTAAAGCACGATCCTTCCAGATAATTGTTTAACAGTTTTTACTTATTGAAATATTTGGTTAACTACTTTCGATTGCAACTGTAAACTGCTGCGCCTTGAATTTAACTTAAATCAGGTAGTATTTAATCTCTCAAATCACGATTTGAAAAACTAAGATAGCATGTAATCTCCAATGAGTAGTAAACAGCTTTGTTTCCTGTACTGTAAAATGCAAGATACAATCTAAAATCTAATTTTACAAAGAAAACAACTTCCCAATTGAAAATTAGGGATATGCCTGAGTTAGTTTGGGATAGAATGTGTTTATTGTGAACCCTAAACAAAGCAAGGTCACTTTTTAGGGGCTTATGCGTTTTTTTTTTAAAAAGACAGCACATAGTTTAACTTGATCAGAGATTGTAGAGTCAACTTTCCTGTTGATCTGAGCACTCTAAAGTGATGTGATTTAAATAACACATTACCTATACTGGCTAGCAATTGCTCAGACGCACGACAACTGACTATGTACAATCTGTTACTCTCACTTATCAAGCTGCTGGGCAGACATATCTGCAGCAATAATTCCTTCTTACTTTCCAGCACAAGACGATAAATGCCATTTAACATCCATTACAAAATCTATTTCCTCAAATTATTTGGTAAGGTTATCTTGTTGTAACAAGTTTTTCCATGTATTCTTTATTAGGAAATATTTGTTTTTTTCATTTGAATTGTGTCCCATTGACTCAACAATTTAAGGAATTTACTGAATCAGCTTTTCATACGTCTCATTATCGTTCTTCTAAGATATCTGATAAAGAGCACTTGCTCTTCTTTATTACTATGTATTAGTCCGTCAGTTACCTTTATTCAATTTTGTTTGCTGTTTGCTTACAAACATGTTAAATAAACAATCAAGAGTTTGTAAGTTTTAAGCAGTCCTAAGGTTGGCCATCCCATACAATTGACTAATTTGCATTGTGATTGTGTATCTACGAAATTTAATAGACATTTAAAAATAATACAGCTAAATACAATCACTTCTCTCAACCAGACATGGCATCTATTAATTCAGCTAAGTTATCATGTATTCTGAAATTTTACTCAATCATCACTCCATTTAATTTCAAGATATAGAGAACCAAACTTTTCCTCCTGTGTGAAAACAATCCATTTCCTGTCATATCCAATTATACGTGGGAAGCCAGAAATTTCTGAATTGTAATATTAAGAGCACACTCATGAGACTCCGTTGTTAGGTTGCTACATTCAATTTTGCCTTCCAATGGACAGGATTATTGCAAGATTTTCAATTGGTTACTCAAGATAGTTTGGCGATTACTGAAGAGAAACTGAAAGGCGACATGCAGTGATGATAGTTTGACTATGTGGGAGGGAGAGAGATGCATAGACTCCATGTTAGTGGTGCATTTAGCTACGCTGCTGGAAGCAACTGAACCACATGGTTGTTGCATAGGGGACTCAGAAGTCCAGAGTAGCTGGATAACTCCGTGCTGTCAGAACACAATAGGAAGTGTTAGGAATTAATAGGCATATCTCAGAAAAAGTCCTGGGTGCTATGAGGCTGCAGAAGAAGCCATGTGACACAAATGGTTCAGTACAGCTGAGAGTGAGGGCTGATAAAGCTCACAACCAATGTTTGCTTTGTGGAATGGAGCAAGACTAGAACTCAAATGCAGCTTTGTGAAGCTAGCTATTTGCAGATAAGCTGAAATTGTGGCCAGGAGTGAGTACTGAAGTCCAGGAAAGTGTAGATCCAGGAAAAGATGGTGATCAACCAGAAAGGGAGCATCTGTTAAGACAGTCATTGACAGAATGGCTTGAGAGGAGTTTTAAGCTACACCGGCTAAGAGAATTGTTACCTCTTGTGGAGTTCAATGAGATTTGGTGACCCAGTGTCATTAACATCAGGGGAAATAGCTGAAAAACCTGCGGGATATGTTTTGATTTAGATTTTTTATTTGATACATGTTCTTCAAAGTTCAAGCACAGTCTATTACCCATATGAACCATATTCTGGGTAATTGAAAACAAGTTGTATGTGCATTGTTGATTGTATTACTGATCTGACATTGTATATATGTTTATAGTTGCTTGATCAAAACTATGAACTTGTGGCATTTTTTCTCTTAGTAAGTCTCCTGAATTTCTCTCATTGTTTATTTTAAGAAAACAGGTTACTAGTGCCTAGTCACATTCTATATAATTTGGTGGTCAGGTCGAGGATTGTGCCTAAAATTCAATTTTTCACTCACTCAACTACGTTTTATTTAAGATATTTCAGTAGGGGAAGTTTTGAACAATTCTTTACTTTGACTTTGCAGAGATTTAATCTGTTTTAAACTTGCATACACTGAAGTCCTCAAAATCATCTTTTTTTAAAATTTAATGATCACACAAGAATATTAATTTACTGAGACACAAAGATCACATCATCAATATTCCAAAACGTACCCACGAAGAATTATTATTATATATACTCACTACTAGCCAATTTTTGAAACATCGCTTAAGAAGAATGCCATTGTACACTTTTTTGGCTTCGAACTTCTTTTCAGCCAGTGACTCTGTTATGCTTTGATGCCAGGTACGTAGACATAGGTGTAAGAGTGAAGAGCTGTGATGATCTTCTGCTAACTATATGATCATAAAAACAATGTACTCTATGAGTAACAAAAAGTTGTACTCGTATAGCATCTTTAACATAAAATATCACAATGTGTTTCACAGGAGGGTTATAAAACAAATCTGACAGTAAGCCATATAATGTTTGGCCAAAAAAGTTCATTTTAAGCAATGTCTTATAAAGAAAATAAAGGTAGGGACATTTGAGTAAGGAATTCCAGAGCTTAGGGCCTGGGCAGCTGAAGCATTTCCAGAATAGTCAAGTATATAAAATCAGGGTACACAAGGTTTCAAAATTTGTTGGAGTCTGATACCTTTTGAGAGTTATGGGGCTAGATGACACAGAGCTTGGGAGAAATTTAAACTGACAGAAGGACAGTGTAGAACTTCAAAAAGACACTGACAAGCTGGTAAAGCTGGCAGGTGGCAAATAAAGTACAATGCAGGGCAGTATGAGGTGACAGACTTAGGTACTAAGAACATGGAGACAGAATAGAACCCTTTCATTTATACTCTAAGTGCGTGCAGATGCAGAGAAACCTGGGTGTGTATGTGCATATGTCTAAATATGGCAGGACCAGTGCAGAGTTGTTTTAAAAAAAAAAATCAGTGTTCTAGCCTTCATTAATAGGGCATTGAGTACAATAGCAGCAAGATTCTGATCAACTTATGGTTAGATCTCAGCTGGAATATTGTGTAGAGTTCTGGGTACTACAGTATAGGAAGGATGTGAATGCAGAAGAGGTTTATGACAATAGTGACATTTCAGATCTGAAAGGCTGCAGAGGAGAAGGCTAAGATAGAACTAATAGAAGTTTTCAAAATTGTGAAGGCTCTGGAGGAGGAGAAACTGTTTCTGTTGGTAAAAGGGTCGAGAACAAAAGGGTATCATTTTCAAGTGTTTTGCAAAAGAAGCAAGTGTGAGGTCAGCAAAAAGATTTTTCTCACAGTGAGTAGTTAGAGTCTAGAACCAACAATCTGGAAGTGAAATGGAGGCTGCTTTAATTAAGGCATTCCGAGGGTGTTGGATGATTATTTAGGTAGAAACAATGTGCAGGTTTTGGAAAAAGACAGGAGATTGGCACCAAGTTAAAATGTTCAGAGAACTGTTGCAGATACAGTGGGCTGAATGGTTTCTTTCTGTACTGTAACAATTCCTGAATTCTGTGATGAGATTACAGAGATCAGAGGGAATGAAGCCATAGGGGTGATTTGAAGACAAGTGAGAATTTTAAAAACAGCATCTTGCATAATTGGAAACTAATACGAATCAAGTGTACACAGAGTAGTGAATGCTATTTAGTGCAAGTTAGAGCATAGGCAACAGCATTTTGGATGACCTCATGTACATTTACAATTTGAACAATGGGATACGGAGGTAAGTGAGGGACCACAGATGCTGAAAGAAACCATTTTTGGGAACGGAGATAGCTTTGCTCAGCAGCCATAACAGAAAATTGCTTTATCTCTGAATTATTTCATTTCTGTACCCCTGGGATCATCTCTGCCAGTACTGATGGTGAGTAATCATCACCTTATTTACCTAAGTTAGTTTACATTCAGGAGACCATTACACAGTGAGATTTCCCACCTTCATCCCTGGTCTTTCTCCTATTTTAGACCATTAATATTAGAGCATTCAGCACCTGAAGGTTTCATGATTTCTTAGCCTTGGTTGTTAAATATAAGTTACCTTCAAGTTTTTCTTGGAGATTTCTAAAAGTTTTTTCCAGGGTTCCAGGCCCTTCTTTTGTAGAAGAAAATGCTGGTAGTGTTTTTCTGCAGCAGATTGAAGTTGTTTTTCTTTTTCATACCTCAGCTGCTTCTGAACCTCTCTCTGCAATGACATTAGGAAAACCAGATATTCCCAGTATTGTGCATTAGCAAATTTTCTTATACCTTATCTCAGCTTAGTTTCAGAATTAATGGTAAATTTTATCAAAGATTTCTCATTTTTATGTCACTTGAAGACAATTTTAGATGCTTTTGAAGCCAATACAAAAGATCACTTAGAAAACTTAAACCAAGAAGAATAATTTTTCAAAACAAAATGGGCACTAGTTTTACTCCTTTCTCATTTACTTTTTTTCTCTTTCCTCAATTTTCAACAGCTCCATCTGGTGGCATTGACAAAGTATAGACTCTTACTTCCATTAACACCACCTGGGAAATTATTCAGATTTTCTGATGACCAGATAAATGCTTCTGTGGCAGGGACTCTGAAGGGATTACACAGGGAACATCTGAATCTTCAATTTCCTATGTCTGGAACCCTCAAGGTTTGTATTTAAATGGAGAATTTGGAGGGTTCTGCTGCAGTTAAGTTGATACTTAGGAATTACACAGAACAATTGGGATAATGCATCTGGGTGTACATGTATTATATTGTCCCTCTAACTTACCCCACAACCACTCAAGTCCATTTCTACAGACTCCTTACAACCCCTACCCTGACCCTGACAACCACCAACACCCCCAACCGCAATCCCATTCCTCATGGGACCTAATATCTCTTGTCTACCCTGATATATCCATTTTCTCTCCCTTACCTTTCACACTCCCCCCTTTCACAGAAGTGTAAAAGTTGCAGTGATGCTGGACTTTTAATCACAGAATATGGCAACTGTTAAAAGGGAGCAGATTACCTTTTCCCAACCATCCTGAAAAATGAGTGACCTGTTTCAATTAAAGTACACTCCACATTTTTGAAAAAGCCTTGGTGAGAATCTCCTGTCAGAAATACGGAGTTCTTTCCTAATAAAACAAAAGAGTGGAGTGGCAATCTGAGTTTACCACTCCTCTGAAAATCCAGTCCTAATGATTTCATTCTTAATACTTCATAAGTGAGTTTTGTTTTGGATTTCAAGGATATTGATATTTATTTCAGACTCTTCAGCATCCCTAAGTTTAATCATCTTCAGAAGGAGTCATACTGGACTTCAAACGTTAGCTGTATCTCTCTTCACAGATGCTGCCAGACCTGCTGAGTCCAATGTTTTGTGTGTCACAAGTTGATTACATTCAAATATACTACTTAACTGATTTGATGGGTGGGAGATTTTACCTTTGGGCTTATGTCAATGCATTTTTACAGCAATGAGTCTTACTTTATTGCTACAAAACTCATGCAGAATTGGATACTATGTGTCAACTCAACTTCAGTGCAAGCTAGGGGCATAGAGTTTCAATTTAAAATACTTTCCTTTACTTGCATAGCTTGTGAAATAACAAAATGGATCAGTTATACTTTTGAGTTATTGGTTTCGGTTACAGCACAATTATTAAAGAATCCAGTTAATTATCTGACCCCACCCTCCAAAAAAATAAGGTATTCTCAAACTACTTTTGCCTTGCACTAGATTCAGTTTAATTATTGCTATGGAACCAGATTTAAGTAGATATCTAGTAGTTCACCTGAATTATAAAAACTGAATTTTAAATCTCTGTATTTCTAAAATTTTTATTACCCTTGGTGATTTAGAGATTTGAACAACCACTTTGTTACCTCCAAACAATTCAGACCTATTGGCAAAGAGCACAGGTAAAAAATAAAACACGATTTGTACTGAACAAAAATGCAATTAACTGTTTTTCCATGTACAGAGTGAACTCAAAATACATAACGAAGTAAATAGTTTTCTGTTTAATTTGGAATATTTCAATTATATGTAAACAAAACAATAATTTGTTTTCAGGAGGCACAAAAATTCTAATGAATTTTAGCATTGTGCCTTTTGGTTGAATACAGTTTTTAAACCCATACCTGTCTTTGCAGTCTTCTCTCCTCGCGTTTCTTTTCTAGAGTTGCCTGTTTTTCAGCCTCCAGCTGCCTCCGTCGCTGTTCCTCCTCAGCTCTCAGATGAGCCTTGCTCAATCATGAAAATAAAACATCCGTGAGGCCACATAATATATAGCACCATAAGTTCAAATTCACTGTTATTCAAGTATTAAAATGCCCACAAGTGGACCTTGTTTCTGTTGTCAATTGTACTGCCTCAAAACAAAGCTCACTTCAGAGAAACTTGGATAACCTGTAGGACCTACAAATCACTTTAAAACATTCAAACCTCTAAAATGTTACCCTTGTATTGTCTTGAAAAGTACAACCAATAAAGTACACTGAAGTGTAGTCACTGCTGTATGGAGGAACATGGACAGCCAAACTGTGTACAGTAAGATCCCATAACTGCAAGTGTTAATTAGCTGTCATTATGTTGTGTGATGTTGATTAAAGAATAATCATTCACCAGGATACCAATTCTTCTCCTAAATAGTGGCAGGGGATCATATATGTCCACCAGGGAGTTGAAGAGGCATCCATTCAGCATCTCATTCAAAGAACTGCACCTCCAATAATACACACTCCTTCATAGAAGAATGAAGAATTTTAGCACTCAAGTCATGGTGTGGGTCCATATCCTTCCATGACCCACAACCTTCTTGGTATAATTAGGTATCCACTTGCATTTTGTTAACAATACAATTATATGCTCCATATACAAAGTTAACGCATCTTAAGTGTTCAATTACTTGTTACGTTGCCATATGCACACTGCTAAATTGGCATTAAAATCACTGCTAGGTAAGTACTAACCTCTTCATAGTTCAAACTATTAAAGAAAACAATAAGCACCAGGATGGACATAAATGTACAATACTGACAAAACTATTTTCTTCCTACTCACAAGTCTCTCTTGCTCTTTTTTTCTTTTGAACTCCTCTAGTTCTTTTCGTCTTGCTAAGCGTTGCTTTGCTCTTTCTTCCATTGCTGAGAAAATATTGAATATATTAGGAGGACCTACCATGTAAAAAATTACTGCACCAGATATGAGCTTGTGCTGTTGAAGGCAAAAATGTACAAGGTGGTGACCCTGTGTCTTAAAAATAGTTCAAATGTTTCAGATTCACTGTTTCACTTTCAGCCAAATATAAATTGGCTCTGGGTAGAGGAGAAATCTTGTCACCCCATGTATAATATGGAAAGAGGATTAAGTAGGTGACAGAAAACAGAGTTGGGATAAACTGTCACTGATGAAGAATCTCAAGGATCAGAGCTGGGGCCTCAACTATTTATGATATATTAATGACTTGACGAGGATACTTTTTTTTTTTTTTAAAAGCAGCAAATCTGGTTTACAAGAGTAGGAAAGCAACAGAGTTTGATTCGGTTATGTTTTAATCTGGAAAGGGGCAAGTAACCTTTTTTTTAAAACAGTACAGAGGATGCAAGATCCAAACTCTTACTAAGAGAATAACACTGCAAAGTTCCATGCGGTTGAACTCTCAAAGTTAGAAGAGTAATACAATCATCAATATAAATACACAACTTTATTCTAACATCCACAACTAACCAGAGATATACAAAAGTAAAATACTCTGTGCTGGAAATCCTAAACAAATGCAGAGAATGCTGGAGAAACCAAGCAGGTCTGGCAGATCTGTAGACAGAAACAGTGTTAATTGAGTTTTGGTAAGTCGTACCAGACTCAAAACATTAACTGTTTCTCTCTACAGATGCTGCCGGACCTGCTGAGTTTCTCTAACACACTCTGTGATTGTAACTGGAGATGTATATAGGTAACATACGAACTGGTTGAACACCACGTGCGCATGTCAAACTGCAAATGCAGATGCCAGATCCAGTGGATTTCTCAGCAACTCCTCAGATGTCAGTGGGTGACCAAATTTCATTAAAACTTCCAGGAATTCCAATTCTTCACTTTTGATATTAGGCGTTGGAACTCCCTCGTAACAGACTGGCTCAACATGTTATGGTACTTCTTCCCTTCTGGGGTCTATACTCCCCTGCATTCTGGAAACTACACTTTAGCCCTATGTCACTGACAGTTAGCTTCACCAAGCCAAAAATACACTGTTTTTCTCCAAGCACTAGACTTGTTCAGCTACACCGTTTGGTTCAAATAACTTCTTCGAGTCCGAACTGCACAGAATTATCCAACGACTCATGACTTCTCCCGGACCCTCATCTGCACAAAACTAGTGCAGTTCATTTATGTTCCCTTCAGTCCAACTGAACAATGAACTGCTTTACATAGAGTTTGCTTCAATTGCCTGTAACCTTTGAACTGCACTTCAGTAATCCTTGAACTGCAAAAAACTCACAACAAGCCCATCCCTTGTTTCTAGATATGTTTGAATGAGAGCCACTGTTCAAACAGTCAGTTGCCTGAATGTTAAGTTATTCATAATATGCTGCCTTCCACAGTCATATCAGATATTAAAAAATGGATTTCATAACAATACAGTGTGCAAAAAAAATGAGTGGACAAAAAATTGACAGAGTATAATGTGGGAAAATGTGATGTTTTCCATTTTGGTAGGAAGACTAGAAAAACAGTCCATATAGCTGCTGTGCTCAACTGATAAGCAGGCAACACTCATGGACTATTAATCAAGATGCATTGAAATTCAGTGAGGGGCCAAGAAATTTGCATCTGTTTTACTCAGTAGCATGATAACTTCATGTATTGAGGAATGAAAGGTTGCCTACAACTAACAAGGCTTGGAATGGAACAATGACAGAGACACTAGAATTCGCAAAGAAACAATATAACTAATAACAGTCTTTGAGCAAAACAAGAAAACAACATGGACTGATAACAGCAAGGATACTTCTTTCTGTCTCAGTTGCAGGAACCAATTCCATTGAAAAAGCATTATGGAACTTTGTTCACTGAGAACTCAAGATCTGCAAACTTTGCCACAGCTGAAGAAACAAGACAAGAGCTAAACAGTTGGACAATATTTTTTCATTCTTACACCCATGGGACTCTTAAAATCTATAACAGTATTTGTTCATTCCCTTCCTCTCTGTACTAAACATCTCTGAACCTCAGAGATAGCAAGAACTGCAGATGCTACAGTCAGAAACAACACAGTGTGGAACTGGAGTAACACAACAGGCCAGGCAACATCCTCTGATGCTGCCTCACTGTTATCTCGGAACCTCACTTTCTTTGTCAGCTCATTACCTGTATTTTTGTGTGTGATATCAGATTTCATTATTTTTTCAGGATGAACTCCACACTTTTTCATGAAAACCTTGGAAATAGCTATTTTTTTTGATCTGGTCAACTAAGTTAAATCAAAAGTGTGATATCTATACATGAGGAAAGAATTTTTAAGAATTGTTGTGACCGATTAAGAGGGGTTTAAAAGAGGGAGCTGTGACTACTCCTTACCTAGCAATAAACTACACTGCTCATCTCATCATTTTCTGTGGTGTTTTTTCCTCACCCTGCCTATTAGTTTTTCACATTTTTGCCTCCACTCCTGAATTCACTGTTTTGCTGGGTGCAGGTCCATAGCTGCTGCCAGACTTCAGCATATCACTATAGTCAGCATTCATCATAGGGGGAGCTTAGACCAAAGAGAACAAACAGGGCAGTCAACCACATAATGGCCATTTGGATATAATGGCCTAATCTGACACTACATTTGCTCAATATCCACTTGGGAGTATAAACCTGAACAACCTTTCTCATTTAATCTGATGATATGGAAACCATGGCATCTTTAACTGCTCAGAGATTTAGAGTAGCATTGTTTTCCCTAATTTAGACTTTTTCCCAGATCAACTCAATAGCCCAAAGGAAACAAGAATCAATTAACATATGGTTTGATTTTGTTATCAATAAATCCACATCTGTATATAACTTGCAGGCAGGTGACAGCAGAGATAAGAATCCTACAAAAACAAAATAAACATAACTACTAAAACATGCAAATTTCCAGCACTGGAAGCATTACCCTACATACCTTTGACAATTGGGTGAGGTGAAATCAAGTTATGAACTGTTTTGCTGTAATTGGTACTTGTGCTGGGACAATTAGATTCCTCAAATGATGTAGGACCTGCCAAACTAAGCAATGTCACAAACATTTTGTTTTAGTAAACTGCAAAACAGGAAAAAGAAACCATACAACAGTGTCAAAAGCACATGGTCAGTCCACTGAACATACAATAAAATTCTGAATTCTATTAAAGTGATTTAATTCAACACTGACAGCTAGATTCTTGGTTCTCAGGAGCATGCAGAGAACCCTAGAATACTTTGTAATATGAAGGTGTTCGTCTCTATTCAAATGGAACAGTTTGTTTTCATTTTTTAAAACATTTTCTCTGGGATTTTTTTTAAACACAGCTAATGCAGCACCCTCTGTAAGTTCACATGTGTGTATCTGTTTTAAGCTCTGGAATTATACACAGACATTATCAGGACCAATGAAGAGATGACTACAGGCCAGCGTTTAAGCTGTTGCTTCAAATTTTACAGAAGTTACGGTGACTCTGCCACATCAATGAGCAATTAAAGTGTGAGTTGAATTACAATGTAGCCCCCCTTTTCAACATTTCTAGGAGCCAGCAGTGAAATTTTACCATAATAATGCATGTGTTTTTATTGTGTCTGAAGGAGCATGTTTGTATTGTACATTCCTGTAAATAAATGTTTGGAATTGAAAAATTAGTACTCATTATGTATAAAATGCAAATTCCCTATCAATCTCAAGTTCCAATGTCTTTTATTATGCATTTATGTATGTCGGCAAAATATTATGCTTCCCACCAATATCAGTCACTGGACAGGAACTCTAGTGTTTACTTAAATGCAAAAGAAATTAATTGGTGTTAAAACATGAAATATTGTGACCCAAAAAGAAAACATTACCTGGATATACGCACAGCAGTGTCTTTCATTTTAGGCTGGGTATTTCCAGATTGTTTTCTACCAAGTGGACTGGGTTCAGTTTGCACCTTTTGAGCTGTATTACCAATCGCTGCAGTTATGGCTGATGCCAGTTTCGCCTCTTCCTGCAATAATGTCAACTGTTGGTTATCCTGAAGCTCTGCAATTGTTTTCTGTTGTTCCTCCAGCTGCTTTTTTTGTTTCTCAATCAGTTGCTGTTGGAATCTATGGCGATGTTCAAAGTTACCCTGCAAATACTGAATCACCTTTCCTGTGGTGACAGAGTTGGATTTTTGACTTTCCTGGTAGCCACTTGAGATTTTACTTGTATCATGCACATGTACTCTGTCCTCCAGGCTCGACGCAGCATGCTTGCGAGTAACTTGCCAAGCAAATTTTGGGCTTTTGGTTCTGATCTGCTGTGTTTTGTTGGCTTGTTGTACCCGGGAATTGACTGAGGAACTCTGTGTCTTCACTTTGCCCTGTGACTATTTGAAAGTGATATTAATATACTATGAAATTAAAAGTTTGTACAACAAAAAAGTAAAGGTGTTCATTGTGATCATAATTCAACTGCAATATACATGGGGCCTGAAGTTCCAGATCAGTAAAATTGCAGTTCGAAAGGATTAGTCTATACACATATAGCCCAGCCGTGAAACGCATCCCTCGTGACAAACAATAAGCGTTTGATATTTACAGTATCCCCATATAATATTCTGCCAGGGCAGAAATAAAGAGAAGAAAGGGAGGAACACATACATTTGTTCTATGGCCTTGGCCATCATTTGTCCTTTGCGATGGTATTGGGGAATACAAGAGTCTATTCAGAACTGATATCGAAAATCTCCAATAATTATTGGCAAAAATTAAAATCATCTTATCACATGTGAAAGCCTCTTTATTCAAGCTTGTGGAGCTTGGTTCAAACATACTTTTTCAAAATAAATGCCAAACAGTATCACTGAGCAGACTTCTAACCACTTAAATTGCTAACACAGTTAATTAATTGAGTTGAGAACTGAGTGATTTACTTGATCATTTCAGCTGGCAGTTAAGAATGAACCACATTGCTGTTGTTCTTGAGTCACATTTAGGCCAGACAAGAATGGCAGGTTTCCTTCGCTAAGGGGACAATAACGAACCAAATGGGTTTTTACAACAAAAAATAATAATTTCCTGGTCATCATCACTGATACTCGCTTTCAGTTTCAGATTTGTTAATTGTGTTTAAATTCCACCAGCTGCCATGATAAGATTTGAACTCACGTCTCCAGAGCATTAACCTGGACTACCAGTGATAGTACCATTGTAACATCATCTCCCCTAACTGTAATAATCTCTTGTAGTTGAAGTAGACATAAAAGCTGTAATCTCCCCATTTACCTCTTCTTCAGCACATTCAATCTGCAGTGTTTCGCACGTACTTTTTGAAACTCTGCTGGAATTTGCTGACAATTTCCCAGAACATGCTGAATCTAACAGTGCAGCCATCTTTTGTTTTGTCTCCTCTTTTCTTGCCTCCAGTTCTCTCTTTCCTTTCTCAGTTTTACACCATATTTGCCAATTTGTGAAGCAGTAACGGAGTCGGTGTTTCCGATTGCAGTCTGTTGCAAGTTGGTTTTTCCTATGAACAACAGACAGCATTTATTTTAATTCTTTCAATTTAATAAATATCAGCTCTGGCTTCAATGAAATATATTTTTAAAATAATGGAGCCAAATATTTTAAACAGTTGGAGAATAATATACAATATTGTCAAATACTTTGAGGGTGGTGTTGGAGGGGGTGTGGGTGAGAGGTGAAAGGAGAAAAGGATATTCAAATTTAATCCAAACTGCTTTGGTGAAAACAACACTAACTCAAAGCACATGATTCATCACCCAAAATAATTTCCACAACTAACCACAAATACTTTACTCTAATGTTGCATTACTCAAAGCATCCTCTGAATATAAGGTAACTTCAATAATAATGCCACTAGGGAAATTCTATTCAAAACTGTAATGTCCCCGTTATGCTTTACTGAAATTCTCCTGGAAACAAGAAGAATGCAGTATGTAGCATTTAATTTTAATCTAACTTAATAAATTTTAGTAGCATTAAGCATAAAGTACTGACCACTAAATGTTATCAAAATCCTAGTAACAACACTGCAACAAAACACATTTTGTAATTTCTTGACTTCTGGGACATTACCACGAACAAGAAAATGACATTTTTTTCCTCCCATGTAGATAATAATACAGTTTATTCAATCATAAGGGGCATCATTCCTGAATTGCAAAGAGTTACAATTTATTTCAATAATTTCATGCATGCGCAACATTTGGACTGAGAATGTTACAAGTGATGGTAGGAGTGAATTACGATTGTTAAAGATTCATGAGAAGGTCAGTTCAAAAGCTACTTCATTACATCTCATTCTGGAATATCTATAATTTCTATATCACTCTGCTAGTTACGTGCTATAGGTCAAGGATACATACTGCTATGCAATTTCTGAACTTAACATCCTGTTCAAGCGCAGATACCTTGGAGACATGAGCTCTGGCAGGTCTCTCCCACTCTGAATGATCTTCATCATGCATGCCATGCTTGGCCACTTTCCTACAATGTGAAAACTCATCTTGTAATGGTTAACTGATATTGGACTATGAATATCTCACCCATAAAACCATTCAACACCTCTCACTTCAATATCTTATTTAATACACCCTGTTCCCCACGTTGATCCCAGGATGATCTAGAAAAACAGAACCTCTAGTCACCCCAATACAATCCCCAACTATAAAACTAGCACTCATGTCCAGTGACCACTTAACTAACAGAATGCAAAATGAGAGTAAAGTATGTAGTCACCACCAGAGTGAAAAAAACTCAGACCTTCTTGTGTATAACAATGCCTTAATGTGTACAATTATCTATAAACAAATCAATGTATTTATGAATAGCATTTGACAATTCCTTTGCTTCAACTAATTTTGATATTAAAATCATAAAACTTTCAAGCAGATAAGATTTTTGCTTAAGCTAGTTATTCACTTTGCTTTCAAAAGTTATTTGCATGCTGATTTCACCACATTTCTTTTTTCATCATTGCTTTTATCCATCCTCTCTATGGAATTGCTATCCTATGTATGTGCAAGTGCTCTACAATCTTATATATATCGTTAGATAATCGCACAAATGCTGCGATTAAAAGATAAAAGTAATTTTTAAAAAGAAGGATGCATTTATATACCATTGTGATGTTGTCTACAGTTTATCTGATTCTCAATACAGTTTCCATTATCCTACTGCAATGGATTGATAGCTGGTTTCAGAAACACACTAGTTCAAATTGACAGACATTATTAGCTGCCACTTGTCTCAAGGAATTAAAGCTGAATGCCATACAGTTCATACTAGGTTGCACTGGTTTTCTCAGTGCCATTCATGGATATTCGCCAGACTAGCACAAAAGGTTTCAGGATTTCGAGCATAGATAATATTCATTGTAGTTAGCTTCCAAGGCCCACAAAACTGACCACGCTCTCAGATCAATTTAATCGCATGGCCAGTTTTCACCAATAATGCTTATTTTTGAGTATTTCAAGGAAGCTCTTAATATTAAGCCAGTTTGTTTGGATTCTAGGACACTAATATGCACATTTTAATAAGTTTGGAATATAAATTGTTTTAGTTTACTAAGAACTGCTCAACACAATATAAGTAGCAAATAGTTGTGTGCAGTCTTGTTTTGCAACAAACTCATCTTTAGCTGTTTTATTCAAACTTCACCAAATTACCACTCTTAAAGGAATATTTTTAAAGTTTTTTTTAAAAAGTTACATTCTAAAGCAGAAATCAGGTTTATGGCAAATTTTACATACGATGATATGCAATTAGATTTGAGCAGAAACTTGAGGAAAACATCTTCAAAATTAGTGCAATTTGCATCAAATTTATCAATTGAGCTTAAAGTGAGAACTCTGTTCCAATGTGTTTAGCTCTTGAAGAAATAATAATTTGCTTTCCTGTTACATACCAGCAATAACACTCCTGTTAATTGAGTTTATACTATTTTTGCAAGACAGTGCACAGGTCAACTTGAGATTTTTTCATCTCTCATATTCCTTCTGTGTAATCAGAAAGGAACCTTTAAGACTCCAGCTATCATTCCTTCTTAGCATGGATTCCAAATAAATCCTACCTTTTTTCCTCTCGCAGCTCTACTTCAGTACGCTGCACCTCTTGCTCCAGTTTCTTTCCCCACACAAATGTTCTCCAGGCCTGGAAAGCTCGGAGCTGACTCTTCCAATCAAACAAGGCCCTGGCTTTACCCATTTTAATTCTTCGTTCGAGCACCAGTTTATACCAAACTGAAAAATGCTTCTGCAAACACTAGATTTAAATGAGGAGTAAATATGAGTTCACTGATACTTCATTTAGGTTTAAAAATAGTATTGTGTTTTTTTTTCAGATCAATAGGTAAGATCAAAGATTGACTCCATACAGATGTGAAGTGTTGCAGCTGTAGCATTTGAGAGCCGGTAGACATCTATAGTAAATGTCATGAGCTTGAGGAATTCAAGCTCAAAATTGATGATCTACAGCGTGGGCTTCAGACATTGAGATCCATCAGTGAAAAGGGAAGTTACCAGGTCATTTTGCTACAATAGGCAGACATAGTCCTTAGGTTAGATACACCAGATTTGGTATATCGTCAGGGACGGTACAGTGTGACCGCAAGTGTGGTAGGTACTGTGATCCAGAAGGTAGCAATGAAGGAGCCTGCCTTGTGCTTGTCCAACAAATTTAATGTTCTTGCAGCTTGTATGAATGAAAGCTGGGACTTGAGAGCATGAGCAAACTGACCACAGCACTATGGTGCAAGTGAACATTCAAGGGAGTCAAAAGGAACATAGTAGGAGGAGGGGACAATATATATAGAGAGACAGTTATTTTATCTGCAGACAAGAACACGAGTCCTGAAGGTTGTGTGCCCATCTGCTCAGAGTTGAGGAAATCTCTGAAGGACTGGAGAGGAACTTGGAGTGAGAGGTGAAGAATCCGGTTGTCGTGGTCCATGTGGATAAGTGACATAGGCAGAATTGGAAAAAAAGGTTCTGCAAAGGGTGTATAAGCAGCAAGGAGATAAATTATAAAGTAGAACCACAAAGATAATATCGTCTAGATTACAAACTGAACCATAAGCAAGTTGGGGCAGAGTAAATAAGATCACATTATTGAAAGATAGCTGTGACAGAAATGGGTTTTGGTACTGCTACCTGTACTGGTGAAAGATGGAACCATTGAGAAGGTCTACACCTGAAGTGCTCTAGGATCAGAGTCCTGGCAGATCAATAAAACCTGGGCTGTAGATAGTGTTTTGAACTATAAACGGAATGTGGATAAGGAAGGAGAGAGTGGGAGTTCATGTGAGGGAAAGATTGGAAAGTTAATGAGAAAAGACAAGGCAGTAATGCAGGGTAGCAATGTGGGCAATGATAACCAGAATATGACAAAAAGAAACAGAACATCTATACACCAGAGTGTCCTCTGGGTAAAAAGAAAATCCTAAATCCCCTCTAACCCTCCACTCCATAAATGTGTGGCCCCGAGTTAATGACCCTTATACCAAGAAGAAGCTACCCTAACTATGTTCTTCAATTTTTTAGACCTCAAATCAGGTCTCCCACAACCTTCTCTGCTCTGAGGAAACAGCCCAAACCTATTCAGTCTCTCTTCAAGCGGAAATGCTCCAGCAAGGGCAACATCTTGATGAATCTCCTCTGCACCTCTCCAGTGCTGTCTCACCCTATGTGGCAATTGGATCTGCACACACTACTTCAGATGTGGCCCAGCTAACATCTTTTATACATCATAACCTTCCTGCTCCTGTATTCAGTGCCTTGATTAATGAAGGCAAGTAGCCTACATGCCTTCTTAACCACTATTAGTCATCCTTCATCTCAAATTCCCTTGCCATATTAATTCTTCTAAAATGAATCAGGATCAAACTCCTTTGCCACTGTGCCCATTCAACTAGCCCATCTATATCATCTTGTAGACTAAGATTTCCTCTTTGTTATTTACTACATTACTAATTTTTGTTTCAGATGTGAACTTACTTATTGAACTTCTTACATTTGTGGGAGGCCAGAAGATTGAGAAATTTTCAGAAACCATGAAAGGATGACTAATAATGGAGGGATAAATTAAAATACACGAGAACACAAGTAAGAAATATAAGAGACATTAAGAATTTCTGCAAGTATATAAAAAGAAAAAGAATAGCTGAAATAAGCAGTGGAGAATTGGGGAATTAATAACGGGGAACAAGTAAATCTCAGATGTTGAACAAGTATTTCAGATTTGTCTTCACAGTAGATATTACAAAAGTATTCTAAGCGAATCAGAAATTCAACAAATAGAAAGGAGGAAGGAAATCAAACACTCAATGTGATTTAAGTAAAGTACAAGGGAAATTAAAGAGACTGGAGCCTGAACAGTCCCCTGGACCTGATGGCCTGCATTCCTAAAATTAATGGCTGCAAAGATGCATAGTGGTAATTTTCCAAAATTCCCTAAATTCTGGAAAGATCCCAGTAAAATGGAAAACTGCAAATCTATTCAAGAAAGGACAGATAAAGAAAACAGGAAATGATAGCCAAATCGGTGAACATCTGTGATCAGGAATATCCATTATTAACTAAGTAAGTAGCAGGTCATTTAGAAAATCATAATATAATCAGGAAGAGTCAGCATGGTTTTAATAGAACCAGAGAATCCCTAGTGTAGAAAAAGACCATTCAGCGCATCAAGTCCACTACGACCCGCTGAAGAGCATTCCACCCAGACTCAGACCCAGACCCCTACCCTATCCCTGTAATCCTGGATTTCCAACTAACTGATCTAGCCTGCAGATCCCTGGACACTACAGGCAGTTTAGCACAGCCAATCCGCCTAACCTGCACATCTTTGGACTGTGGCAGGAAACCAAAACACCCGGAGGAAACCCATGCATACACAGGGATAACGTGCAAACTCCACACAGCCAGCCGTCTGAGGCTGGAATTCAACCTGCGTCCCTGGCACTGTGAGGCAGCAGTGTTAACCACTGAGCCACCATGTTTTGTCAAAGGGAAATCATGTTTGAGAGATAAATGGGATGTAGTGTCTTTGGATTTCCAAAAGGTATTTGATACAAGTGCTACATAAGTTTATAAATGAAAGCAATTACACACGTATGGCAAGTAATTAGGAAGTCAAAAAAATGTCGACCTTTATTGCAATAGAATTGAGTAAGAAAAAGGGAAGTATTGCTACAACAGCATAAAGCATTAATGAGACCACACAGAGTACAGGGCATAGTTTTGGTCACTTTATTGTAGGAGGAACATACTCGTATTGGAAGTAGTTCAGAGACGTTTCAGTAAGATGATTCCAAGGATTAGGTATTTGTCTTATCACCACAGGCTGGGCCTATATCAGTGGAGTTTAGAAGAATAAGAGGTGGAATGAGAGGAAATACATATGATCTTGAGGCAGCTTAAAAGGGTAAATGCTGAAAGATTGTTTCCCGTCATGGGGGAATCAAGAATTAGCAAACAGAGTTTAAAAATAAATGATCTCCAAATTTCACAGGGAAATGAGGAAATATTTCTTCTGAGGTTTGTTAGTCATACTGTCATACAGCACGGAAAAAGTCCAAACAATCCAATCTGACCATAATCCCAAACTAAATTAGTCCCACCTGCCTGCTCCTGGCCCATATCCATCCAAACCTATCCTAGTCATGTACTTATCTAAACGTCTTTTAAATGTTGTAACTGTACCAGCATCCACCATTTCCTCAGGAAGTTCATTCCACACAAACATTCCACACACCCTCTCTCTCCTCTCACCTTAAAAATGTGCCCCCAAGTCTTGAAATGCCCCATCCTAGGGAAAAGACGACTACCATTAACTGTATATCCCTCATGATTTTATAAACTTGGATAAGGTCAACTCTCAACCTCCTCTGCTCCAGTGAAAAGTCCCAGCTTATCCAGCCTTTCTTTATAACTCAAACCTTCCGTACCTGGCAACATCCTTGTAAATCTTTTCTGCAGTCAATTTTTCTCTCTGATTCTCACAGTTTCACAACTATGCCAACTTTCAACAACAATTTTGATGAAAAAACACACAGATAAACCCACAAAAAAATCCTGCCTGCAATCTGTTCCCATAGCATTGTGACATCCCTGTGATACCCAGTTAGAGGTTTCAACTTATTTTTTTTTATTTCCAAATATTGCCTTTGTTCTGGGAAACCACATGAATAAATTAAATTCCCAATGGAGACAACTACAGACAATCCCTCTCCACCAAGAGTCAGAAAGGAGCCACCTATTGTTTCATGCTTTCCCACTGTCAACTTCAACTCTTAAAATATAGCTATTATTTCATGTTTGTTTACTAGCAGATTTGTCCCTGATGTTACTGAATTAACTTACAGATGGTATGTGTTTGCCTTTGGGATTTTCTTCCACAGAGACCAGTGGTGGTGAGACCATTAAATAAATTCAAGACCGAATTGGACTGATGTTTGATCAAAAGGTGAGTCAGGGGTTATGGGGGCAGGCAGGAAAAAGTGTAGTTCAGGCCACAATCAAATCAGTCATGATCTTACTGAAGTGGAGCAGATTTGAAAGCCAAATGGCCTACTCCTAATTCTATTTCTTATGCATCCCTAAAGCTCAACTGGCAAGCACACTTCGTGGACTGCAACTGAGCCATAAAATATGACAAGATTTACTCCTTTGCTATTCCAAGTTGGTTCATCTTAGCTGGATGGCAGTATGGGGTCTATAATTGGTGATATTATTTAGGATCATACATGAAGAATACATCTGGTCAGGAGAACAGAGTTGACAACGATGCTTCAATTTTGTTATCAATTTTTCTATCCGGGTCACTTGTTTGAGCTCAAACATGAAGACTTGCCAAACAGGATGAATTATTCATACTGAGCATGAGTCCATGGAATTTCACTCAATTTTTTTTTTTATATAAGCCTCTCTAAATAGCAAAAGCTGATAGCAACTGATCCCTGAAGGGGCCTTCGGGCAAATGTGACCTCACAGACCCAAGTGCAGTAACAGTTCTCTTGCTGCTATTGGCAAGATTTAATCATGAAACAGGCCAGGAATAAATCTGTAGAATATATGGAGAACTACATTACTATCCTTCAGCTGTGAGGATAGGAAAACCAGATAGCAGAGTTAATGAATGGCCGGTACCTGAATCCTGGTATTCAGGTATATCAGTAAGAACCTCTTGTGTTAAGATTGTTGAATTCTCACCAAACTAAGTTTAATAATTATGAGAGGTTCTTTAACTTCTACCCTCTCAGAAGTAGCCTTCAGTACGAAAGACTGGGTGGTCTTAACTTTAATGATGAGCTGTTATAGAAGAATATACAGTACAGGCACTGTGTGAATACATACCCTTACTTATCTAAAAATATTGTAGGGTTGTTAGGATAATAATCTGGTCCTTCACCACTCAGGATCATACTGTCTTTTTTTCAGATATTAGTTGTCTCTTACCCGGAGCTGGTAAGCTTTAATCCTGGCTTCAACTTGTTGCATCACCTGGAGATGCTTGATCTTGAGACGTTCCTGGTCCTGCTGTTCCTGTAGCTCCATCAGTGCTTGCTTGACCTTTTCATGAACCAAGAGTTTTTTCTTTTGTTTTTCCAGATGCAATTGTTCACTGTAAAACAAGTCCCTGACTGAATTATACGGATAATTTTGAAGATATTCTTTGATATTTTTTAATGGCCAAGTTGATGTAATAGGTTGAACCCCTCATGTGATGCTGGAATATACCATCAAAGGCTAGCACTTACTTTCAGATGCTGGAAAACCCCAAAAAGATTCCTATTAGGTAGACAAACAGGAGGTTGGAAGAACTCAGCAAGCCAGGCAGTATCTGGAGGAAAGGAGGAGTCAACGTTTTGGGTATTATTCAATACCCGAAACATTGACTTCTCCTTTCCTCCAGATGCTGCCTGGCTTGCTGTGTTCTTCCAGCCTCCTGTTTGTCTACCTTGGATTCCAGCATCTGCAGTTTTTTTTGTCTCCTCTAGGTCTCTGGATCTTGGTGAAAACAATAACAGGAAAGTAGGGTTAGAGCTGATTGTAGGCTGGGTGTCATGATGTGGGACCGTTGGATTCACCGAAGAAATTATGATTTTCATGAAAATGTTGAAATGGGTTTTTCTCTTAAAAAGAACATGGGAAGGCAAGGGAGAAAGCTGAAAGAAGCAAATTATCTACTTTTTCTTAAGCATTGTTTGTACCTACTCCTAACATCAGCAACTTAATTTGTCGTTAAGCATTTTTGCAGTAAACCTTAAAGGAGTGCAAGCAAGCATAATTTCCTACAATTCCAACTGAAAGAAAACAAGAGCAAACTTTGATTTCAAGAATGATTATTAAAAAAAAATTAGTTCTTTCTTTCGTTGAATAACACAGAAGTAATTAAAGCATTACATGCATTTGAAGTAGTTACTTTGGCCCATCAAAAACTTACAGTCGTTTTGCCTCTCCCATTATGCATCTCCTTTCCATCATTTCTTTCCGTAACTGCACCATTTCTTTTTTAATGTGTTCTTCCTCTTTCTTGGCTTGTAAAGCTTTTCTCCTGTCTTCCTCCTGAAGCCGCTGCTGAGCTTTAGCCTGAGCAAATTTCTTCATGGCTTTTTCCTGCTTCTGTTGTTCCAACTTTGCCTGTCTTTTCAGGCGATTCTCTCTCACCTTTTAATTATAGATTGGTATAATTAGTTCCTGTGAATCTATATTACCTTAAGGATGATAACGAAAGAGACATGTTATGTCCCACAGGTATTTTTTTTCTTCTAAAATGAAAAGTTAATACAAAGAATATTTAAAATAAGTATTTCATTAAAAGCACACTCTAACAAATTCTAAACATACAAAACAAATAAGGTGCTTTAGTTTATCACCAAACCTACGTTTTGGCTGTGTTTTTTTAAAATTTTCATTGTCAAAACGTGAGTAGAATCCTGATTATAACTGCAGTAGTGTTCCTAAACACTAGTACAGACCTGTTGGTGCCTTGCCTCCATCTTTAACCGTGGGTCTTTGCATTTTGTCTGATGCATTTCCTCATCTTCTCCAAGATCCTCAAGGACACCAGACTCCACCACTTTCATCTCTAGGAGCTGCTGTAAGAAGGTCTGTGCTGTAGCATCCACTTTTTCCTGTTCCAAATAACTGTACAATTCTACAACGATATGTACATCATATACAATAAGCAATTCTAGGATGAGGGCGGTGACAAGTCTGCAACTAATACATATGAAATACCGGTCCTAATTATGGTTAATGGCCAAATAAGTGACCAAAAAGTATTTCCTTGTGGCTTTCAAAATTAAGAACATCAAGTTTTCTTGTCTTCACTGTATTATGTTATGTCTATTCACAAGTCATCATTTTGCCCTGCATTATTCTAAATAGATCTTTTGATATATAGATATATATTTCAACTTCTTGCAGCTAATTTTTATTAGTGCTTATCCTCCTTGATCTTGCCGTTTTTTGTTAAATAGTTCAGGATGCTTGTTCATTTTTAAAACATTATCCACATGCAACAGTAGCCTATAAATTGTGTTTTGCAATGCCATAAACACAAGACACCTTTTTCATTTGTGGGCTGCACATTTATAATAGGTGGCCAGATCTTTGCTTTTGACATTAAACTTTATCTCTACTGACCCATTACTATCTAAAAGGGGCCTCTGGAGCTATTTTCACTCAATGCAACAACATTCAAAATGTTGGAACTAGGAGGATGCAACATTGATGTTTTAACATCATTTTGAAAATTACATACATAATTGACAGATAAAAAATATTAATTTTACTTACGTAATAAGAAAAGACAAAAGGTGGCAAAAAGATACAAATATCTTCACATATTGTCTGCAACTGCAGTGTTAAAACATTTTTAAAATTTTTATATTTTGATGTTTTTAATTATTTTGAGATTGGGGTTAATTTTATAGACATACATTTGCTCCCAACCACTTACACAGGAGTTTGCTTTGGCACCATCATTTGTAAACTGAAAGCTTATAAAACTGCCCAGACTGGGAAAGGTTGCAACTGTCCGGACTGGTCAGCAATTTGAACTTTTTTCTCAGGTATGTCTGTCTTTAATTTTATTCTTGTATTTGTATTTGTTTTCTTAGTCGTGTTTCAGAACTGTATCCTAGCATGAGACAGTACTTTCAGAAGAGGGTTTTATTTTTAAAACAGTTTGCATGATGTTTCTCGTTCGACCCCATATTGTTATCTTTCTTTTAACATTGCTGATTCCTCAGTATTCAGTTATATTATAACCGTCTTATGAGCAGACCAATGGGAGATGAATTTGAATTGAAGTCAATTAACAAAGAGGTCCACAAGCGTAAGCAATTATTTGAAATACATATTCTATGCATTTGAAGGACTTGATATTTCTACTAAAATCTTGAGTGTGACTGTAAAGGTAGAGTTCAAAAATACACAAAAGCAAATCTGATGCCCTCACCATCAAACTTTTCAGGCATTCTGGAGATCATCTCTGGTGTGTGAAGGAGTTCTTCTGAGTTATTGATACAACTTTCTGTTTCTTCAGTTTCTTCATATTCTAATTCTGGCCTTATCTTGGAATTCATCCATTCATGGAGTAAATCTTGAGCTACGTAGAAAGAACTGAAAAACTGTGAAAGGCAGTTTTAACCTGGTCATTTACATTACAGTGCACACTATCACCATAACCAAATAACCATTAACTTAAATGTGCTCCAATTCAAACTCTAAAATACAACTTGCCACTTCACTAAGCGCTAATAAATTTTATTTTAGTCTTATTAAGTTTCAAACTTTAAATTTAACCTTACAGTTTGTCTAATATTTTGATTGATGCAGTTAGATGCTACAGAAAATTTATTTATTTATCAGACTCAAAATATTTTCAAATTAGTTGTTAGGCTGATATGAGGGAAGCTGATCTGAATAACAGGATTCAATTACCTTCATTTAGCCCTCATTAACAAAACCAAAATCGATTGGTCAACTATCTAAATTTCTGATTGAGTGCTTCATGTATACAAACTATAAGCGGCATTTCGCTACATCTAAAAGAATTTAGATTTTCAAGTCACTCTTTAGCTGTGAAGTCACGTTGCAATGTCATGCGGATAAGAAAGACACTATATAAATGCAAGCTCTTTCTTTTTATTTCCTAAAAAGCAAAGTAGACTCAATCATTATGTTAATTTGAATCAGCCTTAAGTAGGCTGTGAGACTGTCACAGCCCAGTGGGGCAAATGTTCACTTTTTGTGCTATAGAACTTGTAATCTATGAAGTTGGGGAAACCCTTAGAGGTTTTCCAAAATTCTCGAGTGATGCTTCAAGTTTTGTTGATGTTAGCATAGTCATAAAATCAAGTCATGAATCACAATTTACTGATTATCAACAGCACCTTGTAAAATTTGTGCTTGTTAATATTAGCTTTGATTTTGCAACAAACACAATGATCAGGAAATTGCTCTCAGGAGGTACCCACTTCTCATCCAAAAAAAAATGCTATCACATATGTTATAAGTCAAATAAATTGAAAGCTAGCAGGTTTTTGCACTTAACTGATATTTATACACAAACCACCAGAAAACATTAGGGTTTGTCCATTTCAGTATATGTACCCTTTTAACAGCCTGAAAAGTCTAATTATTGCTGAACAAACTTTCTGGAACAGAATAAAAGCAAAATACTATGGAGTTGTTCCACAAAGTTATCACTCAGTCTGCATTTATTTCTCCAATGTACAGACGACTGCATTGTAAGCATCTAATACAGTATATTAAATTGAAAGTGGAAAAGTAAATTGCTACTTCACCTTATGGGAATGTTTGGGATCTTTTGACAGTGAGCAGTGAGGAAATAAGAGGGCTTGTATTACATATCCCCCAATCCTCAAACATGACCCAGACCTTCTGGTTGCTTGCCATTTTAATTCATCACCTTGCTGTAATGCTTACATTCTGTCCTTGGAGTGCTGCAATGTTCTAGTAAAGTTCAACACAAGCTTGAGGAATCACCTTCCAATTAGGCACTTTCCAGCTTTCTAGGCTCAACATAGATTTGGACAACATTCAGATCATGACCTTCACAATGTGATTAGCTAAGATGTTTTAAGGAGCTTTTTTTTTTGTCCCCAGAAGTGGCCAAATCGTAAGCCACAGTGTTGTTGGTTGCTAATCGAAATCCAGAAAATTATGTCATCGGGACCATCCTGACCTGAGGGAGACAGGTCTATAACTCAGTGTTGGTAGTTACATCCATGAAACTCAAAGCTGATGTGTTTTATCAAATAGGACTCCTGATCTATCCTATGTGAATACAAAACAGCATATTATGGAACCGCATAGCTACACAGTGCAACATTTTTGCATGAAGCGATCCAGATGCTTGTGGTTGTGTTGTACTAATTGGTCAAATGTCAAATTTATTTTTGACCTGAAGTTTCAATTGCCGTTAATTCATGTATTGATTCCAATTTGTGTTAAGATAAATGAAAAGTAAAATCCTGGTAGTAATTTAATAGATTTGTTACAGTATTTTGGTTTTCAGCTCCCCCACAGGAATTTCAATATTTGATACAAGGCCCATGTGATTCACATTGCCATGGTGATGGTCTTTGAGAAGGGCGATGTCTATACGAAGGCATCATAGTATAGGGTTATAGAATTGTTCTATATATCACTGAACTTCTCAGACAGGGTACATCTATAGAATTTCAGAAAGATAGAGGAGAAGGAGAGAACGAGGGTGCAGTGAGAGGCAGTGAGTCTCTACTGTTCACCATACATGACACAAGTAGAAATGCAAGCTCAGATCGAGAAGTCTAAGTTTTTAAGAGTTTAAATTAAGCTGGAAAACTGGTGTAGCCTTGGCTGGAAAAGGAACTTCCAATTTGTTGCCCAATTAAAAAGTCAGTTCTGAATTAGGAGTTATTTAATTGGGAAAGGAAGCAAAATAATTACTTTGGACTGATTCGGGAAGAATAAAGTGTCCATTTCAGGGAGAGAGTAAAGTGTAATCTTGGCAGAGGGAGTTTCAGCCATTGTAAAAGTGTTTTATTTATTTCATTTTACAGCATACATTGAAACACTGTTTAGTCAATGTTGCTTTTAACGTGTTTCAGTAAAGGTTCTAAAAATGTGTATTCTTGTCGTGAATATTTCAGTTAGTCTTTCATTGGAAGGTTGCATTTCTTTTCAAAAGTTATTAGTCTTTATAGAGATTGTAGCAAACCGTAACAAACAACTAGCACCGTTTATTGTCCATCCTCTGTAAAATTTAACCCATTATCTTTATTCAATGAGCTGTAGTGATCACGGTAGTATACACATTAAAATCCAGATTTGTGGCAAAATATGGCTAGACATGGTTAGGTGAAAATATTCTGAGTTAGTACTAGTATTGGGGACCCTGTAATAGCTTTACAAATTTGTAGAAAAATACTTTTCAGTGTTTACACCAATTGTAAAGGAATCAATTGCCACATCTCGATAATAAAAATATTGGTTATGTGAACTGGCAATCCTTGATCCAAGATCTCGATCAATAGGAAGGATGTTAAAACATAGAAGCCATTAGGCAGATAGACAAAGACAAAACAGAACATATGTGGTCAATAAATCAAGTTACAGCGCGAGATCAAAAACAGACCGGAAAAGCTCAGCAGGTCTGGCGGCATCTGTGAAGAAAAAATCAGAGTTACCGTTTTGAATCTAGCAACCCTTCCTCAGAACCTTTGTTCCCAATTTACAACATCTGCAGTTCTTTCAGATTTTATTTACAGAACTAGATTCCTGATTAGGTTAGGATATTTTCTGCTGATTCTTTTATATCCAGTGACTGAATGCCAGAATGACAATACCATGCAAGGGTAAAAATGGCTCTGGTAGGTTAATGTTATAACAACTGATGGAAGTTGAGAATTGATGCTGGGCAGAATGTTCTGGTGAGAAATGTGCCATTGTGCAGAAGACAGCACGAATAGGACCCATTTACACAGAAGCTGCTGCCAGTGGAGATTTAGCTAAGTTCTTGAAGGAAAGGGACTGGAATTCAGGAGGATGCTCCAAGCTTGGAAGAACTGTGTGGCTGAAATTGGAGCCACACAAATGGAATGGACTGTCTGTAACATCCATGAGATTTATATTTGTTGTATCTGCTATTCCATGTGCAACTTACAGCTCATACCATCAGTGGTTTGTTTGTAAAATTTATGTCTCATTTACATTGACTCTGAGCTGTATTAAAGTGAAGGTTGTTTGGTAATTGCTTCATTTTGCGGGTCATTCATTAAATATTGTTTGTTTGATTTAGTTTCCATGAAGATCTCAACATTGGAAACTTTAAGCAGGAAGAATGATCAGCAGGCTGGCCTCCTCTAAATGCTTGATGAGTGCAGCTTGAACAAACTCAAGAAGCTCAACACTACCAGGGAAAACTAACCTGCTTGATTGATATCCGATCTAACGTTTTCAACATTCACACACTCTTCCACTGACATGCAGCAACAGCTACGTGTACCATCTAAAAGATGCACTGTATAAAGTCATAGAGTTTTTATAGCATGGGAAGAGGCACTTCAACCCACTCCATACGGGTCATCAAAAATCAATTTGTGCTAATCCCACTTTCCAGCATTGGCCCATAGCCTTGTATACTTCATGCGTTCATTTAAATACTTAAATGTCTTGAAGATTCTCACCTCAACCACCCTCCTAAATAGCGAGTTCCAGATACCCATAATCTCTGGGTGATTTTTTTTCCCCTCAAATCCCCTCTAAACCTCAAAAGAACTGTACCCCCTGGTTACTGATACCTTTACCAAGGGGAAAGTCTTCTCCCTATCTACGCCCCTCCAAAATTTGGACACCTCAAATTAGAACTCCCTCAGCATTCTCTGACCTATGAAACAACTCCAGCCTATCTAATCTCTCTGCTTAGCTGAATCGCTTCAGCCCAGGTAACATCGTGGTGAGTCGCTTCTGCCTCCTCTCTAGTGCAATCACATCCTTACTATAGCATGGCATCCAGAACTCCACACAGTACTCCAGCTATAGCCTAACTTGTGTTATATAGTGGTCTATTACAACTTCCTTGCTCTTGCATTCAATGTCATGACTAGTAAAGACAAGCATCCCACATGCCTTCTTAATCACTTCATCTGTCACATCGCTTTCAAGGATCTATGGACATGCACACCAAGGTCCACTGTTTGCTTCCTAGGGTTCTACCTTTCCATTGAGTCCTATTATACTCCCTTGCCTTACACCACCTCACTTTTCAGGACTAAATTCTATTTGCCGTTGTTCAGTCCATCGAGCATTAGGGTTAAGGACTCATCACTCATCAATGCTCTGAGCAGAATTTTTCAAAGAAGTGGCCTGGATCACTTATAAGGATAAAGACAGCAAATACTTGGGAAAACCACTTCCGTTCCCCCAATCCCACTGAAACACTGCACACGGCCTCCCAGGCCTGATGAGCTCTGCAGAGAATTGGACGTTGCTCGCTATCCCATCCATTTGGAGATTTCGATTCTGCTTTCCAAACCCTTCCCCACCACCCTGCCTTGTCCAAGCAGTGTGCTCTACCCATGGGATAAATGAAGCAACCGGTCCAGATCTGTTCCTGATGTTGTTACTAGTGAAACATTCCCAGGCTGAGATTCTCTCCGCCACCTTAAGGTGATTAGAGGTGGCAGTAGCCAAGAAAAAGGAGGTCAGGAAGAAAATTAAAAGTGCGGAATTCTATTATCCAAATGTAGGAATTCCACTGAGCGATAGAAATTTCTCATCCCAAGAATAAAAGCACAGAATGCTAAAAATTCAGCCTTCATAAAAATTAATGCATTTGTGGCAATGTAGATAAAGCAAAATTATAAGCAAAAAGATCTAGCATTGCAGCTAACCATTTAATAAAGTGTAATTCATCTTAAAAGTGTTTATTCTTATAAGTAGACAATTTGCATTCTATGCTCTATCTGATACTGTCATAAGCTTGAACATTGTTAATCCAATGTGGGGCCTATTCATAGATTTTTTGCAGCTTTGTTGACACTTGCACCAGTCCAAACCCTCTACTTCACATTTTCTGGGTATAACATGTAAGGAGCTTCAGATTGTATGTGTGGATTGGGTTATGTGATTTTGTGATTTGATATCACTTTTAGAAAGGCCACAAAGGTCAGTGGATCCTTGAAAATTGTGGCTGTCAGAAGTAGTTTACAAAATATTTCACCTTACTTGATTTACATGTGTCATCTGTGATTGATCATAAAGTCAGGCAATCAGCGGTGACCTTACCTTCAGTATAGGCATCATCATGATCATGAAGCTGATCAATTGTCTCCATGGCCACAACATATCCATTGACTTTCGGATTTATTTTTGATTTTGTGGAGGGAAATACTTCTGCAACAGCACATTCAGATGCTCGTTCTACTCTCTATTAAGAGGAATACATCATTCAACCAATAATATGTGTATATCATTCTTTCTCATTTTAAGTAATTCATTAAACCATATCTGCCATCTTGAATTCAGCTAATCATACTCACTTTAATCCAGTGTTGTATATCGTGAGGATCCATGTTTGTCTACAGATAAACATAACAGCACTGTCAATATCTTAATAAATAATACATGTTTGCAATCAGCGTTAATTTACTCATGCCAAATTTTGTCAAATGTAAAACACTATTGAGTAAAAGCATTAATACAAGCACACAAATTAGGAGCAGATGAAAAGCATTTGACCCCCTCAAGCCTGCCCAGTTGCTCATTATGTTCATGGCTTATCTGTTTATGCTTTGAATTTCATATTCATATCTACTCCCAATACCCTTTGATTCCATTACCTAACAAAAATCTATCTACCATGTCTTAAAATATTCAATGATCCCGCCTAGATCTACATTGCTTTTGAAGGTGACTTCACCAAGGTCAAATGTTAACACATTACAATACAGATGAGTCAAGTGCAAAAAGGAACTGAATCAAAAAAATCAAACTTTGATCAATCTTCTTTGCTGTCACCATTGTCTGGAAATTAGAAGACCCACACCAGGTTTCATTTAATTACTTAATTTAATTTAAATAAAAAACAAAAGAACTGCGGATGCTGTAAATCAGGAAAAAAAACAAAGTTGCTGGAAAAGCTCAGCAGATCTGGTAGCATCTGTGAAGGAAAAAACAGAGTTAACGTTTCAGGTCCAGTAACCCTTCCTCAGTTCAGAACTTTGTTTTTGTTCCTGATTTACAGCATCCGCAGTTCTTCGGGTTTTTATTGTTCGCTGATCATTGCATATCCGCACTTCTGACCTTGTGATGGGGTAAGGTCATTGATAAAGCTTGTGAAAATATTTGAGACTAGGACACTACCTGGAGGTTCTTGTGGCACAAATGTCTGGCCCCTACCTCCGAGTCAGGAGGCCCAGGTTCAAGTCCCACTTGTTCCACAAGTGCATCATACCATCTCTGTCAGGCTGATTAGAAAATATCTACCCTGAGAACTCCTGCAGTGATATCCTGTGGCTGAGATGGTTGACTGTCAACAACTACATCCATTTTCCTTTGTGCTTGGTATCAGCCTACCATGAGGCGCCTTGTCAAATGCTTTGCTAAAGTCCTTATAGACAACATCTACCACCCTGCTCTCACCAATCATCTTTGATATTTCTTCAAAAAATTCAATCAAGTTTGAGATACACAGCACAAAACCATGCTGCCTATTGCTAATAAGTCCAAAGTTTTCCAAATGTAAGAATCTTCTCCAATAATTTCCCATACCACTGACCTAAGGGTTATTGGCCTGTAATTTCCAAGATTATCCCTATTTCACCTCTTAAACAAAGGAACAACATTGGCTATTCTCCAGTCCTCTGGGACTCCTGCTATGACTAGAGTACTACTTTTTAATTCCTTGGATTCTAATTTGCAATTGAACCCTAACTGTCCCAACTGTTAGCTGATAAGCAACAGATTTGGAGAATGTCTCCATCTAGTGTTATTCATACAAGTGATAAACTGCCATCACCGTATCAATGACAATGGTACTCAATTCCCTTTTATTAAATTATACAAATTAAGATTAAATACACACACGAAGGGCACTCACTGGATAATTAATGGAACACACATAGAAAATAAATGATCTTGTGACATAGTGAATGTCACTACCTCTAGGCCAGAAGGTCTAGGTTCAAATCCCACTTCAGGATGT